ATTATTATTATTATTATTATTATTATTATTATTATTATTATTATTATTATTATTATTATTATTATCTTTTATCTAATACTATTATTATATTATTATAAATCATTTCTATAAATTCTTTTTTTTATTTATTTAATAAAATATTTTATTCATTTTTAAAAGCTTCTTTTTCTTCTAATATTTATTTTAAAAAAATTATTTTTCAATTTAAATACTTTATATCAATTCATTTTAATCTTATATTTATTAATTAAAATTACATATTTGTTATAAATATTCTTTTATTTATTTTTATTATTCATATATTTATTATTTTAATTCTTATGTTTATATTTAATATATTTATATCTTTTAATTTAATTAATTATTTTCTTCCTCTTTATCTTTTTTTTCATTTAAAATTTCAGTATTTTATTTTTACAAAATATTAATATTTTCAATAAAAGATTTTTTTCTTATTCTATATAAATAATTTAATTATTAAAAGAATTATTTTTTCTTTTAAACTATCTAATTCTTTATACAAAATATTTTATTTTTCTATTTCATTTTTTAAAAGATATTTAAATTCTTAATTTTTTTTTGTATTTCTTCTTTTAGAAAGTTATCTTTTTCATCTAATAGAATATTTTTTTCGCTTTCTATACTTTTATTTTCTTTTAATAAATCTTCTTTTAATTTATTTAAACTTTCATTTTCAATTAATAAATTTTCTATTTCTTGAAGCAAATTTTCATTTTTATTTTATAAATTTTCCTTTTCTAATTATATAATTTCAATTAAACTGTCCTTTTTATTAATTATTTGTTCCTATTTTTATTAAGATTATTGATTTTAATTATCCAGAATATTAATTTTTTCATTTAAAAAAATATATTTTTCTTCTAAAGCTAAGTTTTTTCTTATAAAGCAAAATTTAGTTTATAGATTTCTTCTTTTTCATTTAATAAGTTAGTTATTTATTTTTTATTGTCTTCGATTTCCAATTAAAAGCTTTTTGTCAATTCCTCTTTTTAAATACTTAATTATTCAATTAAATATTTGTTTTCTTATAAAATAAACTTCATTTATTCTTTAATGTTTTATGCTTTTTCTTAAAATTCTAACTTTTATTTATCTAATTATTCCATAAGATTTTTTTGTACATTTATTTCTTCATTTAAAAAGGATATTTATTAATTATAATAATTCTTTTCGTCTTATAATTATTCTATATCTTTTTCTATTAAATTTTTTTCGTTTTAAATATTTTCTTTTTATTTTTAATTTTCAGCTTAAATATTATTAAGTTGTTAAATTTAATTTCGATTATTTAAGATTTCTTTTTAATAATTTAATAAGTCTTCTTTATATTTTTAAATATCGTCTTTATAAGTTTAAATATCCTGACAATTTTCAACTTATTATTACTACAAATCAAAAACTTAAAGATTTAATTATTAAATTTATTATTAAAATTATTAAATTTATTGATTTTAAACCAAAACACGTTCATCAAAGAATTAAATTTTATTATTTTATTCAATTTCAAGTTTTTAAATTTCCTATATAAATTGATTTTTTTCTAAATTAAATGTATTTTAAAATTAAAGATTTTTTTTTTTTTCAAAATTTATTTCTTCATTTAATAAATTAATAGTATTTTCAAAATCCATATTTTCTTTATTTTTTTATTCATATATTTAATTAATTTATTAACTTAAATTTTCGATTTCTTATTATTTTTGATTTTATAATTCTTTATTTTATTTTTCCAAAACTTAAAGTAGAATTATTTTTTCATTTAAAACTTTATTCAAATTTTAGACTTCTTACATAAATTGATTATCTTTATTTTCTATAATCAAGTTTTTTTCAAATTAAAATTCTTATTATTATTTTTATAAAAATAATTCTTTTTCTATTAAGATTTCATTTGTTTTTTTATATATTTTTTCTATATATATATTCTTTTGTTCCATATTGTATTTTTCTTAAAAAAATTAACATAATTTTATAATTAAAACGTTATTATTTTCATGAAAAAAATCCTTTTCTTAGATAATTTTTTCTTTTTCATTTTATAGTTTTTTATTTTCAATTAAAATTTTTTTGTTTTATTAAATTAATTTATTTTATTTTTCCTTAAATTTTTAAAAATCTTTCAAAAAAATTTGTTTATATAAAAATTCAAATTAGTATATATAAAAGTCAACTTGTTCTTATAAAAAAATGCATTTTTCATTTTTCTATTTAACTTAATTTTCTTAAAAATTTAAAGTCTCTTGTAAAGTTTCGATTTCTTCTAAAAGCTAATTTCTTTAATTTTCTGAATTTTCATATAAATACTAATAATTTTCTACTTGAATTTAAAGTTTATTTATTTCTATATTTTCTTCTTTTTCTGATATACAAGATATAAGAGATTATTATTCTTCAAAATTCGGAAGATTTTTAATCTCATTTAGATTTTCATCATTTAAATTCAAAATTTCTTCATTTATATTTTCTTAATTTAAATTTTGAGTATTTTCTAAGTTTACATTTTAATTACTTTCTTAATTTTCTTCATTATGAATATGATTTTTTGTTTAGTTTTTATTTGTGTTTTCTTAATATAAATTACTTAAATTAACATTTTCTAAATTTTAATTAATATTTTCTTAATTTTAAATATTCAATATATTATTTTATGATTATGTTAATAAAATTTTATTATTTTTTAAATTTTCTTTAAACTATTGTTAATTATTATATAGATTTTCATGTTTTAATTTTCTCTCTTCTTGTAATATTCTTTACCTTTCATATAAATTTAATTGAATTTTTCTAAAAATTTAATTCTATTCTTCAAGTTATAACTAAAAGTCTTCTTTTTTACAAATAATAGAAATTGCACTATTGAACTAAATATATTTCTCTAGTATTTTTTGCATTTTTTCCCATTCATAATTATCTATTTATTATCCTTCGTTTTCTAATTTATTTATTCTTGCCCTTTACAATTTTATTACTTATCTATATAATAAAAAAGACAAACATTTATTTAAAAAAATAAAAATAAAAAATACCTATATTAAATCTCATTTTCTTTATAAAAATTAATCAAATATCTTTGCTCATTAATTTTAGTTAACATTTTTTCCACATTATCTTAAGCTTAGTTTAAAAAAAGCAGGCACAAGTTTTCGTTTTCAACTAGATTTTCACTAATCTAGAAATTACCACCAATTTCTTTTTATAATATCATTTATTTGAACTAAAGATTTTCCAATTTTAGTTTTTTTATTTAATTGTTTAGACATTCCGCATTACCGGAATTGTCTTCATTAATCTGAACTTTATTTTTAATTAATTTTACTCTTTAAGCGAATTTTAAAGTGGAAACAGTTTCTTAAAAAGCCCCTGAAAAAGGCGATATATTAGCAATAAATCTAGTTTTTGAATTTCCTCCAATACAATCTTTTAAAAAAAAAGTTAGTTTAGAATCTCTATAATGTATATGCCTGCTTTTTCCTCCATCAATTTCAACTAAAGAGTTAATTACGTTTCCCAAAATACTCAAAGACCTATTAATATTACATCCTTCACGAAGTCTTTCCCCTTTAATATTTCCCTGTTTTGTTCTTTCACTTCCTGCCAAATCTACTAAATTAAAATGGGAAAATCTTAATTATGTTATTCCTTCTTGTACACTTTTAGATTCTAAAATTATTGAAAATACAGTATGGGAACGTGATGATTCCCTATTCATTGAAGTAAATCCTATATGACGATTTTTTCCTCCTTTTTTTAATACTTCTATTGCATTTGATAATGTTCGTGTTATTTATTCTGTTAAATTTTCTACAAAAACACCCTTTTTTTTATTTTATTTTATTTTTTATTTTTTTTATATTTACTTTTTTTAAATCTTCCCTTAATTAAAGACTTGTTTAATTATTAGAAAGTAAATCTATTATATGTTCATTATAGATTTCTAAATAACTACATTTCACTAAATATTCAACGTTTTTTTATGATTTCTGGTTATTTATTCTTACAAATATATTTTCTAATACTCTTGGAAGTAACCCTCTATTTTCTGTTTCCAAAACTTATTCTAAATCAGAAGAACCTGTAATTGTGAATGTTTTACCTGCTCCAGTTTATCCATATGCAAAAATACAAGCGTTATAACCTTCAAAACAATTATCAACTGCTGGAAGTGCTATTTTTTGAAATATTTCCTATTAAGTAGTATATTAATGAGCTATATAATCAAATTAAAATGTCTTTAAGTTTGATTAGGATGATGTTTCAAGTTATATTGAATTTGGTTATTATTGATTAAATTTGATACATGTTTATTGACTTTCTTGTTTCTCGTTTTTGTTTAAAGGGCGAACTCTTATTGTTACTTAAATTGATTGTTTTTCTGATGGTTAATCTTACATTTTATTTTTTATATTTAAATTTTAATAAATTTAAATTTTTTTTTTAAACAAAAATTATGTTTGTTATTTTTTTTTTTAATATTATTAAACATAATTTATTTAATTATTTTTTTAATAAAAAAACATTTTATTTATTTTAAAGTGTTTCAGTTTAATAAATCTTTAAAAAAAATATATAATTTAAATATATTAAAAGGCTCATAATATTTGATTATTATTAAAATGTTCAAAATATTAATTATATATTTATAATTATAATAATTTATTTTTATTGAATATTGAAAAATTTATAATTGATTTAAATATGTATATTTATTATTTTTATTTATATTATTTTTAATGAAAAAAATTATACTAACTTAACAATCAATCTTATGTGAGATTAATTTTTAGTAACATAAATATTAATTGATAATAAATAATCTAATTTATTTTTTAAAATGAATATAAAAATATTTTTTCTTTATTAATATTAGCTCATATATTATTTAAATAATAAAAATAATATAATAATAAAGAATTAAAATTATAATAAATCCTTATCAATTACATTTTGTTTTTTAATTATAATTTTATTAAATATACAATATAATTATTTTATTTATAAAAAATATTTTTATTTATAAATTATTCATTATTGATGTTTCATTATAATCTTAAAAAAAAAATATCTGTAACTTTTAAATTAAGATTATTTAATATAATATATTAAAATTAAAAAAAAATTATTTCAAGACCTAATTTTTTTTATTTAATATATTTATTTTTCTATAATATTTTTATCTTCTTTTTTTAATAATATTTTTTATTTAATAGATATTTTGCTTTTTTTAATAAAATTAAATTTTTTATAATATTTTTTTTATTTTAATATGGTATCTTTTAATTATTTTGAAAAATAAATATTTATATTATATTTATTTTTGTCTTAAAATAAATAATATAATAAAAAAATAGATTTTTTATATATGTATTATCTTTTAATTTTTGATAATAAAAAACAAATATAAATTAAATAAGAAAATATATAAAAAAAAGATATTATTTTATATTTAATTTAATAATATAATTAGAACATTTTTAAATAAAAGAATGAAAATATTTAATTTAAAATGTTTTTATTATTTAGTTTTCAAAAATATTTTTTAATCAGAACCTTTTTAAATTTTATAAAAATAATTATTTATAAGCGATAATAAAGTTTAAAACTTAATTTATTAATTAATATATATTAGTAAAATATAACTGAATTTCTATTTTTTTATTTCACTATATTTTATGTAATATAGATTATAATATCATTAGAATAAAATAAAGAAAAATAATTATTGGAGGTATATTATTAATTGTAATATAAAATATATGTTATTTTTTATATTTATTTATAATTTTTTTAAAAAAACTTCGTAAATATATATAATTGTTTTTTTATTTATTGAGTTATTTTTAAAAACCATAAAAAATAAATATTAAAAAGTAATATATTTTTACTATAAATTATTAAAATATAAGTATTATTTATATATATTTATTTTCATTTTAAATTTATTTAAGATAAATAAAATTAGCAATTAATAATATATTATAAAATATATATAAATTAAAGAAAAAATATTATTATTCTTTTGTACAAAAAAATTTTATTTCAAAATTCATTTTCATTTTTTTAATTATAAAAATTTGTTTTCATTTTATTTAATATATAAAAATTTTTAAAAAGCTTATAAAAAATTAAATAATTTAATAAAATAAAATGAGTAATTTAGAAAATATAAATATAAACATTATGTTTATTCAAATATTTATCATTATATTCCTAATTATGTCAACTTCTAAAATTATATATACCAAATAATTTAATTAAAATAATAATACTTATTATTACAATTAATAAAATTTTTTTTACAATAATAATTTGAATTTTTAATAAAACATAAATTAAACTTTTGAAAATAATATAAATTAATATTTATATAAAATAAATTATTTATAATGAAAATTTAAATAATAAATAAAGATTGCATTAAAGAATGCTTTATTTAACACAATAATTAAATAAATTAAGAGAAAAAATTATTAATAACAATTATTGATTAATTAATAGTTTAAATTAATTATAATAAAATAACATAAAAATTATAATAAATATATAGAGAGCAAAAAAACAATTTAAAAATCAAATGATATAAACTATAAAATATAAAAATTATAAATACTATATATTATAATATAATAAACTTCATTTTTTTTCTTTTTATAAAAATGGTATAAAAGCTTTTAATTATCGTAAATATAATTAATTTTATATTTATTTCTAAAAGATTTTGTAGAGTAATTTTATTATAAAATTATATAAAATATATTACTTTTATTATTTATGAATTAATAAAATATTGTTAGTTGATTGTAAATAATTTGCTAATTTTTTTAAATAAAAGATATTTTTTATTTAGTTAACCAAATAAAAATTAATAACTTAAATTTTTTATTTAGAAATGATTTATGTATTTTAATTGTATATTTAAAACATAAAATAATAAAAATATTAGGTATAAACCTGAATAAAATTTAATAATTTAATTACTTATTTTTTTTGATATAATTATAATATTATATTAGTAAATGTATAAATTGTAAAAAGTTTAAGAAAATAATTCGTTTATTAACAATAATGAAGCTGAACATAATTTTTAAATTAAAATAGCATACTTAAATAAATAAAAATAATAATTATACAAATATTTATATATAATTGTTAATATGTTTTAATTTTGTAAAAGTATACATACATAAAAAAAATAGAAATATTAAAAAAATAAAAGAAATATATATTATTAAAAAAATAATAAAAAGATAAAAATTTTTTAAAACAATTATAAAAATAAGAATTAATGGCGTAGAGTAATTAATAAATTACAAATATAAAAACTAGTATAAAAAATAATAATTAAAATAGCTGCACATTAAAATAGATACGAAGGTGGTCTTTGTTATGCACAATGCAATGAACTTTTTTCAGTTAATTTTATATTTATTTTAAATATATACACAAATATAATTAATAATAAGTTATATTTATTTTAATTAAAAAAATATAATAATGCTTATAATCTAGTCTATTTTTTTATAAATATTAGTTCTGGAATCCATCAATTTAATAATGTTGGAAAGGTTGTGATTTTGGAACTGGAAGAGTAAATGATCCTGAATTGAGGTATAAATAAAATAAATAAATATATATTTAAATTTTTATATTTTCAATTAATATTAGAAAAGAAGCAGACTTAATGTGTAAAAGATGGACTGCTGAAATTTTGTGGACTTATAAAGGAGAACTTGGTTTGATAAAAAAATTATAAACTAATTTATATATTATTTTTTATTGATTTAAATAGATAATATTAAAGACTTAAGAGTACACGCTGATATGTACCCAACAACTCCTCAAAATGTATATAGAGCGTGTCTTGCAGGTGTGCGTAGATAGAAATATTGAAAAAATAAAAAATAATAAGATATTAGATAATAAATAATAATATCATTTTTAAAATGAAAAAGAAAAAAATAAATAAATTTTAGATTTTTTTTTTTTTTCTGCAATTTATAAAATAAATATTTTTAAATAAAAAAGGTGAAAAATTTTACTTTATAAATATAAAAAAAGAATATTAAATTTGCATTATTTATATTGAATTAAAAACTACTTTTTTATTATATTTTTAATCATAAATTTAGCGTCCTTTTACTGTCGCAACTACAAAAAGTTGTTGGTATTCCTCTATTTAACAAAAAAGCACAATTTTTACAAAAATTCATATATCTAATTAATTTTTATTTTATATAAATAAAGAAAAAAAAATATATTTTATTAAAACTAATATTTAAATATTTTATATGCTTATATATTAATTATTAAAATAAATTATACTTATTTTTATCTTAATATTTGATTGTCCTTTAGTTATTATTAGTATTTTAACAAAATTACTTTTTAAACTAATTTTCAATAATTTTTTCTTTATTAATTTTTGTATGAATAGAACACCTAATTTATCTTCTCATTTCTTCTAATTATTTTCTAAAAAATATAGATAATTTAAAAATAAAATAAAATAAAATAAATTAATACAATAATTTTATTTCTTAAATTAATTTTTCTGTTTTAGTTAGCTTTTTCTTATTTTAATTTTTCCTTTCAATACTTAAAGTTTATTTTGAAAGTATATTTTTTGTATTTATATTAGAATATCGTCGATCAGTATTACAAGTAATTTCTTCAGTCGATTAAACTTAATTGTTAATTAATAGATGTTGGGAAAATTATGTTCTTGTTTCATTACAAGTTTAATTAGCAATACTTGATTATCTACTTTTTTCAGAATTAATTTTTTTTAGTTTTTCATTTTCAAATCTTTTTTTTGAAATTATAAATATATATATATAACATTTTTTTATTTATTTTTTATTTTACGACAATTAATTTATTTTTTATAATAATTATTTTTCTTTAAAAAGACTTTTTTAAATTTCTTCTTTTTATTTTAGAATTTCTTCTTCATCTTCTTTTAATTTTCTTAAAAATTCTTTATAGTTAATACTTTCTTTATATTCATCAAAATATTATTAGACTTATTTTACTTTTTGAATATTTGTATTTAAATTTTCTTTGTTTTCATTTGAATTTTCATTATTTTCATCATAATTATTATTTTAATTATTTTCTGGAATTTCTTACTCAATTAAATTTTCTGTTTATGTAAAATTATTAAAGCATTAATTTTTTGTAAAATCTTTATTATTAATTGACTTTTTGAATATATTATCTTAAAATAATAAAGAAGATTAAAATGAAGAATATTCTAAACTTTCTAATTGTTTATCACTTTCAGTAAAATTATCATTTTCTAATTCATTTTTTATTTAGTTTATTTTACTATTTAATTCATTTGCTTCTTTCTCGAATTTGTCAAAATTTTATTAATTTATTTATTTTGTCAAATTTAAATCGTGTTAATTTTCTTCTACTATTTAATTTAATTCATTATCTTGATGTTTAAAATTGTATTTTTTTTCTATAGGTTTTGATGATTTTAATGATTTAATTGAATAATAACTTTAACTTTAAGAAAGATCTTATTCTAATTTCATTATTCTTTATTCTATGCTATCATAATTGCTTGTTTGAACTTAATTTTATTAGAAACTTCCTTTATTATTAACTTTTTTTTAAAAAAAAATTATTATCAATTTATGTTATTGTTTATACATTAATTTGAATCGTTTGAATCTGAATCGTTTAAATCTAATGAGTTTATTCTTTATCTTAATCTCTTTTTTATAATTATTTTATTTGTATATTTTTAGAATGTTATTTTATTTTTTTACATCTTAAAAATCCATTTATAATTGAATTCAAATTAATATATATATATATATATATATATATATATATATATATATTTATATATATATATATATTATTTTTATTGATTAAAAACAATTAATATATTTTTTTTTTAGTTATCGATATTTAAATTTAAAATATTATTATTAAATAAACATTTAAATTTATAAATTCATTTTTTAATTAATTATATGACTTTAACTTAATTCTAACTTTTTTAATAAAAACTTTAATCATTTTCTTAATTATCACCTAATATTTTTATAATTAAAATTTTAATTTTATTAATAAAAAGTCACAAGAAAATATATTTAATTACTACTTTATTTTAATGATTTAGGAGAGAAATTTTAATAATTAAATATTTTTACATTATTTATTAACTATTTTATTTTTTGATTTCTTGGGCTTAAACTTATTTTATCATTTGGACTTTTTTATAAACTCCTTTGTTTTTTAATATCAGATCTTTTTATTAAAAAAATTAAAATGTTTTTTTTTTTTGCACAAATATATAAATACGGTGAAATCTTTTATTTATATCTATAGGTTTCAGCTGAATTTTTTCTAATTATTTGTAAGTTTGTTTCATCATTAATATTTTGTATTTATTTTTTCAATTATTTGATATGTTATTCTAAAACTTTACGTTCTTCAGTCAGTGTATTACTTTCATTTAAAAGAAACATATTTTGAGCTTAAATTTTATTTAAATTTCCTAAATGATTTTATTTTAAAGGACTATTTTATATATCTATAATATTATTTTATTTAATATTTATTTATTCTAATTAATTAAGTAAGTTTTATGTTATTTATTCTTATTCTTGTTCATTTTAAATCTTTTTTTAAAAATCAATATATAAATATTTAAAAAAAAATACTTTTTAGATTGGCTTTATTATATTCTATTCAAATTTATTACAAATGACACCTGCTTCTTTATTTTTTAAAAGTATTTTTTCTATATTATATTTCCCATCTTAAAAATGTTGGACTATCTATTTGATCTTTTCTAACCATCTTGAATAATCTTCGTGTTTAAGAATTTTATTAATTTCATCTTAAAATCCATTAAGTTTTTTCTTTAAAACCAATAGTAATTCAGTCTTTTATTTTAATTAATTTTTTCTTTAATTTAGTAAATCCTGTTTTTCTTAAATTTATTATTATACTATTTTCTACTAATTTGTTTATTTAAGTAAATCTAATTATATTTCATTATTTTAATTCTATATTTTTATTTTTTTTATATTTTTAAAAAGTAAAATAAAAATAAAACTTCAGTTAATTATAGCTTCTCAGCTAAAGGTTCATATTCATCTTGAACTTCCTAAACTTTATATTCTTATATATTTTTATAATTTTATAAATGTTCGTTTATAGCTCTATATTTCAGAATATCTTCTTCTTATAAATTAATTATATTTTCTTTTTCTTTTAGTTAAGACTTTATTATAATATTAATTTAATTTTTTAAAAAATAAATAAATAATTAACTGTAATATTTTAATATCTTTATTAATATTAAATATAGTTTTTTTCTTATTTTTAAATATCCAAAAGAAGATCTTTAATTTAAATTTCATACATTTACTATTAAGTTTAGAATTATTCAATAGCCTTTTATTTTTGAGTATTTTATTTCCTTAAATTTTCATTTTTTTTAATTTCCATTTCTTTTTAGGTTTTTAATTTTTTATTTAGCAACTATAAATATTCTTAAAACTCTTATTTTTCTTATCTTTAGACTTCTTCAAATTATTTTTAGCTCATTTTAATATTCACTAGTAAATTAGAATATTCATTTTCTTATTAGTTAATTTTTTCTTAATATTTTTCTTTTTATTTATTTTATAATATCAAATAACTTTTTTCTTTATCTTCTATTTAAATTTAACTTTTTTCTTATTCTTATTTAATAATATCTGATATTCGATTATCTTCTTAATAATATTAAATTAATATAGAGCTGTAATATTCTTCTTATTCTTCCGATTATTATTCAAAAAATTTCTATTATTCTGCAATTTTATTTTTAATTTTTTAAATTTTTTAATCCCAGAAAAGCTTTAAATTTTCTAATTTTTCTTCTTATTATTATTTCATTTTTTAATATTCTTTTTAAATTTTTTCCATTTCGATTTCAGTAGCTTTCTCTCTTTTTCCTTTTTCATCTTCGATATCATTTAAATTACTATTTAATTTAAAATAGAGTTCTTTGACTTTATCTTTTGCTTAAATAACAATTTACTCGCTCTAAAGACATAATTAATTTAAAAGAAATAAATCAAATTCATCATTAGATTCTTCGAAAAGCACATTTTCTTAGTTTTTTTTGTCTTGACTTTCTTCTCTTTTTAAAGACACAAAAGAATTATTTTCTATATTATTTTAAAATTAATTATTTAATTTTTAGATTCTTTTTATTCTCTTTTCTTTCATAATATTTATTTCTTAGCCGTACATATACTACTTCATTTTCAAAAAATACAAAGAGCCATCCTTACTTCCACTAAATAAAAATTCGTAATTTCTGCATATTTCTATACTAGTTACTTCTTCTTAATGGACAGCTATTTCTAAAAATTCTTAAGCTTTTAAATTTATATCAAAAGGCCATAAATAAATTCTTATACTGCCTTATGTGGTTCCAAATACTATTACATTTAAGCTTCTTAAAATATTACAATAAATAAAGTTTAAAGGCTATATTTCCAATTCATATATTTGGGTTAATCCTCTATCTTTACATAATTTTACTTTTTTGTCTTTTGTACATTTTATTAATAAGTCATAATATTAATCATAATTTAATGCTGTATATTTTGATCCTGATTTTTCATAATAATCAATTATTTTTTATTCTTTAATTTATTTTTAAAATTTATATATGTATAGTTGTTTTTACGATTTAATATATTCCATAATTTTAAAGAATTCAAAACGCATGTAGTTTATAATATTGTATCATTTTGTAACCATTCTATTCTTTTAATCTGACCATAATTTCCATGTAATGTGAAAAGAAGTTAGAAATTATATGGATTATAAATATTAATATTTGCTTAATTAGCTTTATTTATTTTTTACTTATAAATATTTTTTTTATTTTTACATGCGGCTAAATAATTTCCTCCATTACTATACCTTACACAATAACATTATTTTAAAGGATATGAAATAATATGTCTAAATTCATTTTCTAATATTATGAAAATTCGAATTCTTTTTTTAGTTTTTAGTTTAATAAAAATTTATATTTTTTAATTTACTCTTCTTTAAAAGAAACTGCTAATTATATATAAAAAGGATCTGTTGAAATAGAATAAGGTTATTAACTAAAAAAATGTGAAAAAGTGCAAACAAAACTATTTAAATATTTTTAAAAACTCCAAATTTTAATTTGTTTATCTTCACAAATCCCAAAAACAGCATTTTTAGTTGGGCAAACAGCCAAATCTAATATTCTTCCTTTAAAAGTTCCCAAAGGAAAAACATAATGAATAGCGTTTTCCTTTAAATAAAATTAATTATCATTAATTAAATTTAGATCACAAACTCCAAAACCGATTTTTATATTAAATCTATTTTATTCATTTGGTTAATTTAAAATAAATTAAATATCATTTTAAGAATGAATATTTTTTTCTTTATATAAATAACTAAATGCAATTTAATTTTCAAGAAAATTACAATGAATTTATTAAATTGCTAACATATGGAAATCATTTTAGTCTTTTTTTTCAAAATTAATTTATTAATGAAAAATCAATTAATAAGTATCTTAATTGAATTTATACATCTTTACACCTTTAAATTATCCTCCAAAACCAACTATTAAATAAGTATTAATCTTTTTTATTAACAAAAATAAAAATTTAAAATATTTATATATATGTATATTTTTTTTACTGAACAAATACATTTGCATTATATATCTTCTTATTATTATAAATCTATTTTTTAAATATAATTATTATTTTGGAATATATATAAAGTGTTTCTAGTTGTTATAACTGCTAAATATGAGGAGTCCACTAAATATTCAACTTCTATTATATATTCGTTTTCTTCTAAAAAAATAGGCTCAAAATCTGAATTAGTTAAAGTTTATTCTTCAAATTAGTATTACCAAAATTAAATTAATTTATTATTTATAAGTAAAAATTCATTATATTTTTAATTCGGACAAACAATGAAATTCAAATTTTCTTAAAGTTTTTGAAAACTTAGACATGTTTGAGTTTTTAAATTCCAAATATTTACATAACAAATATTATCTTTTTATTATGATTTAGTTGTTGAAACTAAATATTTTCCTTTCAAAATAAAACTTATATCTTGTATAATTTAATTTAGTTCTATATGGGAATGTAATAATATTTTACATTCATTTTTTTATTGTTTTTGCTTATAAATTTTTATCTATTTTATTTATTTTAGTGTTTAAAAAAAATTAAATTATTTTTATTTTAGACTTAAGAATATTTATCTTAAGTACTTTATAAACCACATGCAATTTTTAATTTTTCTCTTTAGATATTATAATAGTAATTCATAGCTACTACTTGTTCATCTTCAATACTTTTAATTATAATAGTCTGCTTTTATTATTGCATATGGTATTATATTATATGCTTCCCGCATGTATATATTAATATATTATTATTTATAATATATAAATTTTTCTTAAATAAGTTTTATTAGCAACCATATGATTGTTGGATTTTTAAAATAACTCCATTCATGAATTCTGTACCTCCTTTTGTCCACATTGTACGTTTACTCTTTGATATTATTTGTTTTTCTTTATTTTCATTAAATTATTTATATATTTTATATAATTTAAATACTATTTGCTTTCCATTTATTTAAAAATTCCTATCATTTTGTGTTTGGTTTTTGTCTTTCATGGAAAAATTAAATATAATTTTTTTAAAATATATTTATAAAATATGTAGTCTGTATATATTATAATTATTAATTTAATAAAGGAAATAATTTTAAAAATATTTATTTTATTAAATAAGAAAATAAATTACAATTTTAAATATCATTTTTTTTAAAAAAAAATAGGCTAAAAAACAACAAAATATATATAAAAAAATATATTTTCACTATTATATTTCTTAGTTAAGTAATATTATTATAATTCATAAAATATTATTAATATTTATGATAATATATTTAATTTAAATCATTATTTTTTTAAATATATATTTAAACTAGAGTTTATATACTCTATAAAGCTTTAAAAATAATTTTAATAAAACTATTTCCAATAAATAATTTAATTTTAACCAAATATTGATTAATAAAGTAATTAAATTATTCAAGATGAATTTTTACACAATAAACATAACATAATTAATTTTTAAAAAATGAAATTAATAATAGTGGACTGGAAGTATTTAAAAAACTTTCTTTAATTTTGAGTATTCCGGATTTTTTTTTTAATTTAATTTTTGCTTTAAATAGTTATACAAATTGTTCAATAAAATATAAAAAATAATTTAACTATAGGAATAATATTTAGTATAATAAATACGAAAAATGAAAAACATTTTATAAAGTAAATAATTAATAAAAATAAAGAAAAGTATAATTTTATTCATATTTAAAAAATAAGGATATAAAATAATTACTTTAACAAATATATATAAAATAATTATTTATTTATTTAAAAATAAATTTAATGTCTATTATTTAAAACGATTTTTCATTCTTTTCAAATTGATAAAACATATTTATTTTACAATTATAATTAATAAATTGTTCTTTTGTTCTTCTAAAAATATTCAATTATTTTAATAGTTGCAATAACATAATATATTATAATTAATAATTTATATTTATAAAATTTTAATTCAAGTAAATTTATACCAAAATTTTTAAAGTTCAGAACATTATTTTATATTTAATTCAATTATTTATTAAAAAAGTTTATTCTTTTTATTAATACATATATCAAAGAAAAATATTTTATTTTTTATACAATTAATTTATCTATTTTTATATAAAAATGATATGATTATATTATTAATTATTATTGTTAAAATTAAATTATTTTAGAATTGATATATTTTTGATTTAAATTTATAAATAATTTTTTTTAAATATATAAATTTTAATCAAAAAAATTATAATCTAAAATATATTATAAAATATAATTTTTATTAACTATATTTAATTGTATAAAACATAAAAAAATAAATATACCTTTTTATTTATAATAAAATTTTAATTAATTATATAAATTATTTAATTTTTATTAATTAAATAAATTATTTAATTTTATAATATATATAATAAATTATTAATATTATATATAAATAGTTATATAAAAATTTAAAAATGAATCATATTATAATTCATATAAATATTAAATTTATATTCATTAATTTTAAGTTAAAAAGTAGAAACATATATATGTATATTAATTATTTTTAATAGTTTTATAATAAATTTGTAGTATAAATTTTATATAATTTTTTATTTATAATGAGATTTTATATTATCTAAACTCCTTTTTAAAAAATAAAAAATAAAATATTTTTAATATATTTAAAACATAAAAGCATCATATTTTATTAACTTATTCTTTCAACTACTAGTATAATTTTTAAGCTGATTATTAAATTTGTAAATTTTAAATATATTATTTATGTTTAAAAATTAAGTTAGATATTTTATTAATAGCTTGATTTTTATCATCTGTTTCCTCAAAAATTTAGAAATAAAACTCTTCATCAATTTATTTAATATTTTGATTACTTTTAACTTTTGGGAAGAAATCAGTTTCATTTTCAATTACCATTTCAATTTCAACACCATTTAATTCCTTTCCTTATTTATCATTCATTTTATTAACAATTTCTTCAGGAGTACTTATAATAGTAATATCGTCAATTCTTGAATAAACAGAAACTAAAGAACTTTATTTCAAATGTTATCTTATTAAGTTTTTATTTTCGTCTGAAAGTGGTTCTGTATCAGAACAAGAAAATTTAAAAGTTTAACATCTATCAGAATATTATTTTGAAAAAGAGCATTCTCTTTAATTTCTCTTTTATGATTATTATTATTATTAATCATCTATTTGCTCACTTAAATATCTCATTCTTTTATAAAAATTAACCTGTTGTTATTATTCGTTATTATTTTTTATTTCCTAAAAAAGCTTAAAAAAATCTTTAATGTACTAACATTAAAATTATAATGTGGCACCCTTTAATTATATCTTTTATATTTGTACTGTCTGGGCATTCTATAATTATATATTTTTAATAAATGATACTTTGAAATCTAATATATATGGATTTTTTAATTGTTTATCCAACTATTATAAGTATTAACTCCATAATGGATTAGATAATAATAAAATTCCTATACTTCGGGCTAGTGCACAGAGTTTTACATAGGAATTTTATTATTTTTTGAAATTTATTTATGCATTCTATGAAGAAAAAAAGTCTTATTCATAGGAAAATTACCATTATTCAATACAAAAATTTGCAGAGTCAGATTTTCTTTATAAGATAAATTCAATTGTTAAATTTGTGTATTTTGAATTCCATTTATCTTAGATTTTATTTTCGAGTTTGTATAGAGCTTTTGGAAGTATAATACCAAATTCATTTTATGATTATTTCTAATTTTATAAATTATCAACAACTTTTCCAATTTAAGTATAATCATAACGCATTTATAATATATATTCAGCTATTTTTGACAAATATTTAACCATTAAAAAATCTTCTGTTTCATATATCATTTTTTATTATATTTAGTTTTTTTTTCTATTATTTTTTTTCTTTACTTTTATTTACTTTTTTTTTCTAAGTGTTTTTCTTAATAAATATATTCATATGTATATTTGTTAATTATTTTTTTAATTTAAAAGTCAAAAAATGATAAAAATATTAATAATTAATTTTAATAAATATAAATTATATATTTTTTGATTATTATATTTCATATTATTTAATAAATTTTAAATTAAGTTTTGTTATTGTAAAAAACAAAATCTTTTTAAAAAGAAAAAAATAACTTAAATATACTAATAATTTATAAATTTTTATTTTAAGAATATAAAAAAAACAATGGTAAGTTTTTTCTGAATTTAAATTTTTAAAGATAAGAATTAAAAAAAAAAAGTAAAGAATATATATAAAAAAAGTGAAATAATAAAAAAAAAAGAAAAATTAAATTAATTGGTATAATAAAAAGTAATTATTTATATTAAATAAAAAAAAAAAAAATTATAATTACACATTTTTAATATAAATAAATAATAAAAAATTATAATAAAACTTAATAAATTATTAAATTTTATATAATTTAATAGATGTAAGAATATTATAAAAATATGAATAAATAAAATATGAATATTTAAAAAAAAAAAAAAATTATAGTTAATAAAAAAAAAAATTATAAATTTAAGAATTATTATAGTAAAAAAAAAATAAAAAAAATAATAAAAATAAATAAATAAAAATATAAAATAATAAAAATAAATATAATAATTAATATATAATAATTAATAATATAAAACTATTTTTATATAGTAAATTAAATAATCTAATATTTATTTTTTTTACATATTTTATCTAATTTTTAATATGATAACAATTCGAATATAAAATATATTTATTTTTAATATTTTGAAAAAATTATTTCAATTTTTTTTTAATATTTTTTAGTTAAATAAAAATTTAATAGTTTATTTTATAATTTACAAAATTTTTTTTTTTCAATAAATGACAAGCATATAAAATTTAGATAAATAAATAGCTTAACTTTATTAATGCAAATACCTTTCAGAATTAGAAGTCAAATTATTGTGTGAAAAAGTTAATAATATTATTGATCAATAAATTAATTAAAAAAAATTAAAATAGGCGAAAGAAATTCTTTCATAAGAATCAAATGTTTAACCAGTTCGTTCACCGGTAACAATATGCGGAGATATTCATGGTTAATTATATGACCTTTTAGAATTATTTAAGATTGGAGGAAAATGTCCTGAAACAAATTATTTATTTACAGGAGATTATGTTGATCGAGGTTTTTTTATTTATTTTTAGATATAGATAATAAATTATTTATATTAAGGATTTAGCTCTATTGAATGTGTGAGTCTTTTATTTTCATTAAAAGTTAGATACCCTGATAGAATATTTTTAACAAGGGGTAACCACGAAAGCCGCACTACAACATAGGTTTATGGTTTTTATGATGAATCAGTACGTAAATATGGAAATGCTAATGTTTGGAAATATTTTACTGAAGTTTTTGATTATTTACCCCTTACAAGTTTAGTTGAAGGCAAAATTTTCTGTTTACATGGAGGTTTGTCACCTTCTTTAGACACTTTAGATAGTATTAGATAATTAGATAGAGTTTAAGAAATTCCATAAGAAGGTCCTATGTGTGATTTATTATGGTCAGATCCAGATAATATAAGCGGTTTTTTTTTTTTCCTTTTTTACTTTTTTTTATTTTTATTTTTTAGGATGGAGAAGATCGCCTCGAGGTGCAGGATTTATTTTCGGATAAGAAATATCTGAATAATTTAACCATAATAATAATTTGATAAAAATAGCGAGAGCACATCAATTAGCTATGGATGTAATTAATTTATTTTCATGTTTTTTTATTTTAGTATAATTTATATTAAAGGGATACATTGAAACTCACGATAAAAATTTAGTTACTATTTTTTCAGCTCCTAATTATTGCTATAGATGTGGTAATTTAGGAGGTATAATGGAAGTTGATGAAAATATGAAAATTTAATTGTATTTTTTTATTTAAATAAATTTAATTTATATCTTTTTTCTTTTTTTATCTTGAAAAAATAAAGGATATAATATGATCATTCTCCTGAATAAGAAGTCGATATAATAGAAAAGAAAAGAGTTCCAGATTACTTTTTATGAAAAATATAAACAAAAAAAAATTAAAAATAAATAAAATAAAATATATAGTTTAGTTTACATATATTTATAATAAACTTTTTCATTTTCTTTTTCTTTTGATTATTTAAATAAATTAATTAATTTTTATTTTTTAATCTATATAAAACTATATAAAATACAGAAGTATATATTATATATTAAAATAAAATAAGCTATAAATAAATAGCCTTTACAAATATAAAATTATCAACAAATATAATGCCTTTTATTATTTTTTGAAATAATTAAAATTATTCAATCTAAAAATTAATATAAAAAAAACAGATATAGAAATTAAAAAGTTAAGTTAAAAAAAATACATGGGAAATGGCAACGACAGAATATCCCTATCTAAATAATAATTTAATAATGTCTTAAAAACGTCAAGCCTAAAAGACTGCTTCTAAAAAACAATAATCTAAACAAAAATCAATTTAAGTATACACAATAATTTACTTTTCCAAAAGGTAATTAAGATCTTTACGAGAAAACAGGTCCTTAAACAAAAACGAATTTCAGGAATGTATTAAATGATTAATTTGTTTATAATATATAAATTAATAAATATTAGACGAAAAATAAACTATAAGTATTTTTTAAGATTATTCTGTAAATTAATAATTTATTGACGATTAAAAGTAAATAAATAAATAAAACCGATTGTTATGGGATTTTTCTTAATTTAACGCAAAGCTTATTTGTGTGATTTTTGATGCTTTTTTTATTTTTTTAGAAATTAATAACAATTTTGAAAACAGTTATAATAATTTCTGGGCTATTTTAATTGGAAAGACCTTCGAGGTGAAATTATACACAAATTACACACTGCCTATATAATTTACAACATGAATGGAGTTCCATATTTCTATTATAATCACGCAATACAGAAAATTAATTAGAAGAAGAAATTTTTAATTATTTTTATATATATTTTATAACCATCTCTTTGATATCTTCTTCCTTCGGATACTTATACTATAAAGTCTTTTGTATAGCCATAGCATATTATAGACCTTAATTTTTATTTTAATCTTTTAAAAGATTTTAAAATTTCGTTGATTTTCTATAAAGATCCTATAATTAATAATATTTCAATTAAAATTCATCAATATATTATTGTACTATTGATACTATAAGTACTTATTTTATATATTTTTAAATAAATATTTAGATTCCATAATATATTGTTTATTTTAATATTGTAATAATAATGATTAATTTATTTTTTATTATTGTTTGTTTTTAATTATTAAGAGAAATAATTATATATTTATGAAAATTGTTTACATATGTGATTTCTTTAAACTTTTTTCTTTATTTTTAGTTTTAGTTTTTTGCTATTATTTTTATAATTTTATAACATAACATAATTTAAATACTTATTTATTACTTGTTCTGATTTTTTTTTTTCTATAATTATTTCTAAGAAATCAATAAAAAAAGATTTTTATTCATTTTTACTAGCTTTATTTTTTTATTGATTGAGGTTTTAAAATAAATTATAAAATAAAAATATTATAAAAAGTAATTTTTTATTTCTCGATTTATATTATTTAAAAATTTTATATAAATATATCAAAATCATATATTTAAAAAAAATTAAATTTTTTAATCTTATTATTATATATTTTTTTTATTTTTTACTTAGTTTTTTAAAAAAATCAATCAATAAAATAAATGCGATTTATTATCGGTTTTTTTCTTTTACTTTTTCTTTTTTATTGATTTATTTTAAAAATATTTCAAAAAGTTAAAGAAAAAATAAAATAAATAATAATTTATAATTATATTATTAAAAATTAATAATCTTTATTCTGACTATTTGTAAAATTAATTTAATTATTTTTATTTTTTACATGATATTATTAATATATTATTTTTTAAAAAAATATATAAATAAATTAATTAATATATTATTTTTTTAAAAAATATATAAATAAATTAATTAATATGGAATATATTTTTTACATTTCTTTTTATTTATATTTTTTCTTAATTATTTTCTATTTTATAAATCATTATATATTGATTGAAAAAAATTAATAAAATATAAGAATTTAATCCGAACTAATATAAATAATTTATATTTAGTTAACAAATATAATTTTTATATTTAAAATAAAATATATCTTTTTAATTTATTAAAAAAAATTTTGATTATCATTCTTAAGATTTAAAATAATATTTCTTTTATTTTATTTTATATATAATTTATTATAATTGCTATTAAAAGTAAAGATTTATTTATAATAATAATATATAAAATAAAATATAAATACAAATACAAATACATATAAAATAAAATATTCTTTTCTATCATAAATATTATAGATATTATCAAAATAACTAAGAAATTTATTATTTGGAAATCGGAAATATCTTTAATATTTAATGACTTATATTTTAATTATTTTTCATAATTTTATACTTTTGTATTTATATTCATATCTTTAATATTATTTATTAATAAATCTTTTATAATTTTTTTCTCTAAATTTTATTTTATTCAAATAAGTCACATTCTTAATAGAATGAATACATAAATAAAATTGTTCTTTTTATTTTAATATTTATTGACTCTATTAATAATTTAATTGAAGCTTTTACCTAAAAAAATTTAATCACAGTTAAATTAAATTTATTAATTCTTTTTGTGTTTTAACAACAAAAACATCTCATATTAATATCATTTTTAATTATTAAACAAGAAATTTATAAAAATAAAAAAAAATCATAAAATATATTTATTCTTTTTAATATTTATTTTAAAAGGTGAAACCTTTTAAATTAACTTAATAATAATAAAACTACTTGAATTTAATTCATAGACATAGATCTTATATTAAACTAATTAGTATAAATATTAAATTTGATATTTTTATTTAAAAAATATAGTTATGTTATTTATTTATATAGTTATTTATTAAAAAATATTATAGTTTTTAAATAAAAAAATTTTATTAATCTTTTTTTTTTCTCTTATTAAGAAGCTTTCATACTAATGTATAAAATTAGTTTTATTTATAAAAAAAAATTGCATATAAGAAAACATTATTTATTCATTTATTTTTTAATAGTTATTTAAATTAAAAAATTATTTATACTGATTATAAGCTATATATATTAAATTATATAAATTTTTTTTCTAAGAATATATTTTTTCATTGTTTAATTATAAAATATATAGAAATGTTAATATAAATTTATAATATATTAAAATATTAATTTTTATTTATATAATAATAACTTTTTCTTTTTTTTTTAATAAAAATTTTTAAACAATTTATGATTAAAGTGGCATTTTTATTTTTATTATTGATTTTGTAAATATTTAACAAAAATATTTTATTTTATTTTTGATATATTGATGATAATAATTCTTGATAGCAAAAAAAATTTAAATTAAATATTAAATTTTATATTTAGACTATTTATGTAATCATAATAAAATTGTTAAATAATTTTTTTATAGCCGTATTTAAATTTTAGGAAATTAAATTTATTGTCATATTCCATTTTTTTATTTTTAAAATTATTAATTTTATAATTATTATTTATAAAGTAAGAAGAAACATTTATAAAAATTTAAAATCTTTTTAATTTAATAATATTAAATAATTATATTATATACATAAAAAAGATTAACTATTCTAAAAAGTATTTATATTAAAAACAAAATGTGTTGTAAAACAAGAAATTAATTAGATTAGAAAAATTCTAACCAAAATAATAATATAAAATTAAATTTAAGCAAAATGTCATAAAAATCAATAAAATTAATACTTTTAGGTGAAGCGTTTTCAGGAAAAACATCGATATGTTAATTTTATAAAAATGGATAATCGAATAATTTAGAAACTCCTACAATAGGAGTTTGTTACAGTTAATTTTAAGTAAATATTAAAAACAATTATAATATTACATTGGATGTATGGGATACATCTGGTTCAGAAAAATATTAGTAAAAATATATTTTATAAAGAAAAGAATATGAATAATAATCTTTATATTTTATTTTTTGTAATAAATAAAAGATCACTAGTTAAAATTTATTATCAATATACAAATATTGTTTTTTTAATTTTTGATGTTGGAAACGAATAAAGTTATTAAAAAGTCAGTTTTTGGATGAATGAATTAGAAGAATTAGTTGATAAAAATAAAATTTTATTAGTACTTATAGGAAATAAATGTGATATTTAAGAAAATTAGAGGTAAATTTCTTAAATGTAAGCTAAGAACTTTGCTTAAGAAAATGATATGCTTTATTTTGAAACTAGCTGTATTACTGGATAGGGTATAGTTGAAGCTTTTACTAGTTCTGTATAATAATATGTTATTAGATATAAGACTTGAATTAAATATTGTTTTATATTTATATGATAAATTAATTAATTTGCGTATTATTATTATTTTGCTTTCTCTTTTTAGTTATTATATGTTTATTTTTAATACTTTTTTTATATTCTTTTTTTATAACATATAATTTTTTATTTATTTAGAAAACTAATTATGAATAAAATAAATAAAACTTAAATTTTTATTAACAAATTATATAGAAAATAACAAAAATAACAATATAATTTAAATTAAAAAAAAATAAAATTAATTAAAAATAAAAATAGAAGAAGAAAAAAAATATAATATATAACTAGAAAAAAAAAGAAAGAAAAAAAAAATAAGAATGGGAAATTAGTCTTCAAACAAAAATATAAATGAAAATATAGTTCAGTAATTCGATTAAATTTTAAAATCACCGAATCTTTCTGAAATAAGTAATCGATTAAATGCATTTTACAATAATTAGTATTAATTAGAAACTTGGATAGAGAGTTTAGAGAAAATAGAAATCACTTCAAAAGAAAAAGACGAAAAAATAGAAAAGATATTATTTGAATCTATTGATTTTATATTTACAATAAGTTTAAATCATAAAAATTTAAATGCAAAAGAAATAAATATTATTAATAATATTTTAGTTATCTTGACAAAATTTTTACCAATTTTAAATGAAAATTAAGAAGTTTTAAATTAATATTTATGGGATTGCCCTAATTAGCCTTATTCTATGTAAAAGATGTAACTTAATTAAAATAAAGTACTTGTAGTTTATAAATCTGATGATTAAGAAATTGATAATAAAAGGCAAAATTGTGAATCTTATGGTATTAAGCTTATTTAAGCATTATAAAACTTAACTTCTTTTCCATCCTATACTATATAAAATATGGATGAGTTAAAAAAAATAGACTAATTTGTCCATAAAGATTTATAATTAAATAATAAGTTTCTTTGGACGAATATTTTCGAGGATAGTCATCCAAATGAAAACTCTAGCTTTTTAAAAAATAGGTTTATATTGCTTTCTTGTATTGTATCGTGTATTTCTTCAACACTTTTTGTGCCTAATTATGCCTAAAATTACTAAAATCCTTGGTTGATTTTTTTAAGTAGTTATGGAAATTAAAACTGTGTTTAATTTTTTTAAAATTTATTTTTTAGTTTATTAAATTTTAAATATTAAAGTATTAAACATAAAAAATATTAAAAATAAATTTCTTTACTTTCAGCTTAAATTATTTATGCTATTTTATGTCATAATAATGGAGTAATTATAAAAAAAAAAAAAAAAAAATTATTATTTAAATATAAAGGCAGAAAATTAAAATGAAAAAAAAATTATTAAGAAAATGTATCTTTGTAATAAATATGTAATTATTTTATGATTGATATTAAAGATAAGTCACTAAATAATTAAGATTTATAAAACAAATTGTTACAAAATCATATAATAAATTATTTTCAAAACTAATTGTAGAACTAATAAATATTAAGTTTAATTTAAGAAAGATTATTTGAGTTATTAGAAGAGCCTTTGAAGATTTAAAATTCTCTTTTTTTTAATTCTATGAGTAATTAAGTAGAATTTGATGAAGAAAATTTCGGAATATTATATTAATTAATGACAAATTCACGTCTTTTATTTTAACTAATAACATCCAATAAATAAAATATAAATCGAATTTTCAAAATAATAATTTATCATTTTTGTAAATCACTAGATTAAAATAATCAGAATCATACTTATTTTGTAAGCTTGGGTCTTTTTACAATTCTTTCAACAAATTAAGAATTTAATAATATATTGAATGAAAACAAAAGCTTCAATATTAATTTAAAATACTTTCCTATTATAGATGGATGTTTAGGAGATGTTTTGATTGTTAGTTGTGCTTAGGCTATAATAAATTCGTAATTTTTTAATATTAATTGTTGCCCTTTTAATTTAATGTGTATATTAAAAAATGCTATATCTTATATTAAAGTTTTGAATTAAAATAGTTGCTAAAAATTAAGCTAATTGCTAATTTTATTTTCTGATTTTAACTTTTTGTTGTAAAATACTTTTTAACCATACTGTTTGTATTAATTAATTTAAATTTATGACAAAATATTAATTCATAATTTAGAAAGTAATCCTTATTTATTATTTACTATTTTTTAAAGACAAAATTCGTTTGCGAAAATCCAAAAAATTAACTTTAACGAGAGTACTATAAGGAAATATTATTAGATCATTTAAGATAATAATAATAATAATAATATAGTAGGAGCGGAAATTAAATTAAATGAAAATGTTTAAGAAAAAAATTAAGAAGATGCTAATGAAAACGACATTTCTAAAAATAAAAATAAAAAACCTCCCAAAAGAGTTACAAAAAAAACAAAAAGTGAATTATAAATTAATAATAATTAATAACAAGAATAAGAATAAGAAAATAATAATAATAATAAAAATAATAATGATTAGTTATAATAGTAAAATAATAATGATTAGTAATAATAGTTAAATATTAATTCTAATAGAAATTAAAATATTGAATTAGAATAAAAAATTGAAAATTTATAATAATAGAATAATTAATTAATTAATCGTCCTATAGATATCAATATTAGTAATTAAGTTGATTAAATTATTTAAAAATGGTAAAATTTTGATTGGGATAATTTCAAAAAAAACTTTAATATAAAAAATATAGGTTAAGTTATTAAATATATGAATATTTTTTCAAGCGAATTCAATAATAAAAATAAAATAGAATTTACTTATGAAAATATGATGAATAATTAATAATTAATAGATTAAATAAAAAATAATATTGTTGGGAATAAATCTTTATAATTTGAAAATTTTTAGGATATGAATAGCATTAATTTATTTTGTTAATAATGTTGTTGGATGTAAATTTTATGTAAATCTAATTACTTTCCATTAATAAGATAAGAAAATATTTTATATTTCAGTTAATAAGAATAAATTGAAAGAATTATTGTAAATTAATAAAATATTGAAAGTTCTCGTATTGAAAATTGATAATAATTTTTTTTTATTTTATTTTTTTATTTTTTTATTATATATTTGTTTTGTTTTATTTTATTCTTTTATTATTTTTAAATTGAAGATAATTAGTTGTATTTGTATAACTAACTTTTTTAAAAATTTAATTAAATAATATATATAATAATTCTTTTTTTAAAATATTATCAAAGAAAAAAAAAAAAACTACAATCCAATTTTTATTGTCATTTCATTTACTTCGATTTATTTTTTTAAAAAAATACATAAAATAATTAAGTTTAGAATTATTATATAATTATATTAAATATAATATGATTTTATGAAATTAATTTTTTAATATATATAGCATAAACATATAATTTTTATTTAATCCATTTTTTTTCTTCTAATCCTTTTTATATTTATTTTTATTCTCCTAATATTAAAATTATATACACATTACTTATTTTCAAAAAAAAAAAAAAAAAAAAAAAAAAAATTAAAAAAAAAAAAAGTAAGAAAGAAGGTAAGAAATAATTTAAAAAAAAAAAATTATTTAAACACAAAATACAAACCTAAAATAATTTATTTTTTTTCTTACCTTTATATTAATGGAATGGAATTTTTATAAAAAAGAAAATAATATCTTATTTTTTATATTCCACCCCCCGAATCCGTAAGGAGTTCTCCCTTATCCTCTTAGGGCATATACAACGTCCATAGCAGTAACAGTTTTTCTTCTAGCATGTTCAGTATATGTAACAGCATCTCTAACAACATTTTCTAAGAAAGATTTTTAATACTTATCTTGAATCATCATAATAAAAGATGAAATTCTTTTAACTCCACCTCTTCTTGCCAATCTTCTAATTGCAGGTTTAGTAATTCCTTCAATTGAAGCTTTGTTTGATTTTCTTGAGTGTCTTTTAGCACCAACTTTACCCATTCCTTTTCCTCCTTTTCCTCCTTTTCCAGCTGCCATTTTTATTTTATTTGTATTTTTTTTTTTTTTTTTTTTGAGTTTTTTTTGTTTAATTAATATTATAGTTTAATATTTTAATTTATTTTATTATAAATAATATTTTTTTAAATATATTAAATATTTTTTTTTTGTAATGAAAAAAAGGAATATTAATTTTATTATCCTATCTCTTTGAAGATTTAAATTTTGATTGGATAATTTAATTTATTTATTCAAAATTTAGAAAATCTTTATAAAAAAAATATATAGCAATATATATATATAAAAAATTAAAAAGATTATTTACTTTAATATTTTATTTTTCATTTATAAAGAAAAAAATAAAAAGAGAATTATATATCACTATATATTAAAAAAAAAAAAACAAATTATAAATATTTTTTTAATTAAAAAAAAAAAATAAAAAACAAAAACAAAAACTAAAAAAAAAAAAAAAATGGCAAGAACCAAATAAACTGCTAGAAAATCCACTGGTGCTAAAGCTCCTAGAAAATAACTTGCTTCCAAAGCTGCTAGAAAATCTGCCCCCGCAACCGGAGGAATAAAAAAACCCCACAGATTTAGACCCGGAACCGTCGCTTTAAGAGAAATCAGAAAATATTAAAAATCAACTGATTTATTAATCAGAAAACTTCCCTTCTAAAGACTCGTTAGAGATATTGCCCATGAATTTAAAGCTGAATTGAGATTCTAATCTTCTGCTATTCTTGCTTTATAAGAAGCTTCTGAAGCTTATTTAGTTGGTCTTTTTGAAGATACCAATTTATGCGCCATACATGCAAGAAGAGTTACTATTATGACTAAAGATTTATAACTTGCAAGAAGAATAAGAGGTGAAAGATTCTGAAGAAAATTATTTTTCTCTCTTTCTTTCTTTCTCTCTTTTTTATTATTTTTTATTATTATTATTGTTGTATTGTTCAAAAATGTTAAATAAATTAATTATTTTTTTTTTTAAATGAAAAAATAGTTTATTTATTTTTCATATTTTTTGTATAGAGTGTATAATAATTAAGAATTTTTTATTTATTAAATAATAATTTTTAGTTAATTTTATTTTATATAATATTTTTTTTTTGAAAAAAATAAAAATAAAAAGTATTTATTATTATTAATTTTTTTAAAATATAAATTTAGTTTTGTATAAAAAACAAATATCAATTATTTTTTGAATTTATAATTTCAAAAATATTAAATACAATAAAAAATAAAATTATAATAAATATTTAAATATTTAAAATATATTTTAAATATGCTTTTTAAATGTCTCAAAAATCTAAATATTTTATAATTTTCTTATATTTTACTTATATTATTATATAAAATTCATTATATATAAAAACAAGATTTTGAATACACAAAAATTTAAATGAACATTTAATAACTATTAAATGAAAATAAAAATAGAAACTACAACTTATTAATTATAATATAAAAATATATCATAAATTTATATAAAAATAAAGTTTTATATATTTATTACATTTAAATAATAAGAACATACTTTTGTTTATATGAAACAAAAAAAAAACGAATATTAACTTTTTTATATTTAAAAAATTATATATTTAAATAAAAATAAAAATAATTTTTTACTATATATAAAAAAAATATTGTATTAATTTATATAAAAATATAGCTTAAATATGTAAATATTATATATATATATATAAATATATATATTTATATAATAATTAATTTTTATATTTATAGAAATTTATTTTACTAATATTTTATTTTTTAATATTTATAACTTTTGTTTATTACATATTGATTAAAATTTTATAAGAAAAACTTTTTGTATAAATTTATCTTTATTTTTTTTTTTAAAAAAAAAAAAATATTATAATTTTATTATTTTTTTTCAAATTTATATTTATTTTAGAGTAGATTTAAATTCATAAAATATATATTTAAAATGTTTAAAAATTATAATAAATATTTTATTATATATTAAAATATTTATTTTATTCTTCATATATCGAAATTAATTTTTCCTGATCTAAGTTTTGCAGAAACATCAGAAAATCCTCCTTCAAATTTACCATCAATAAATATCATAGGAACTGTATCCCAATTATATTATTTTTATATTTAGTCTTTTTCATTTTAGTGTTAATCAACATCGATATAGTCAAAATCAATTTCTAAATTAGTAAAAAGTTTTTTAGCACTCACACAATAAGGGCACCATTCGGCTCCGTATATTTTTACTCTCTTAATACTATTCTACATATTATATATATATTATTTAGATTAATATATATTAATAATATGAATTTTATTTTAATTATAAAATATATATTATTTAATAATTTTTTTTTTTTTTTAATTTATAATTAATATTTATAAATTTTAGTTATATATTATTTTTGTATTTTATTAACAAAATCTTTAATCAAACAATATTGTTATTTGATTTATTTTTATTTAATTTACAATAATTTATGATTTTTATGAAAAGGAATTTAACACTTTATCCATAAAAATCAATTTTATTTTAAAATTATTATTTGTGAATAAAAATCTTTTTATAAATTTCATTGATACACCATTAAATTATTTTTATTTTATTTTATTTTTAATAAAATGTCTTTAAAATGCAAATTGTTTAATATTTTTGTTTAAAAAAAAAAGGTTTATTAATTATGTTAGATTTGAGTAAATTTAGGTGTATAAATTTAAAGATAATCTTTAAGCATTTGAACAAATAACTAAAAAAAAAAAAAAAATTATTATTAAAAATATTATTAATTAAAGGGATTTTTTATATTTATAAAAATAAAATAAAATTAAAACTTAATTTTCTAAAAAACTTTAATTTTATAATAAATATTGAATAATGTAATTATATTTAAATATTATGGTTTATAAAAATTATAGCTTTTAAATTCTTAATAATTTTTATGGTTTGATGTTTAAAAAATATTGAAATATTTTTTTTTTGTTCAATAAATAAAAATTAAACATTAAAAAATAAATAAAATATATAATAATATATGATTATATATGATAATATATAAATAATATTTTTATAAGTTAGAAATTATTCTATACATAAATATAATGAGATAAAATAAAATAATTATAATATATATATAATTTTAATATATAAAAATAAAATTAAAATAAAAATGCAAATCCTAAGAGAAGCTTTAGACTAATAATCATAGACAAATATATAAAATGATACAGCAAGGCACATATAAATCAAAATATACCTATTTTAAAAAAATATTAATTATTAAATTTTATTTCCTTTAAAAATTTTAAAATATATATTTTATTTTATTTTTTTATAAAAAGTTTAATTAAAATAAATTCTGATTCGCAATCAAATAAAAAAACACTTTCTATTTGGATCTCATTTTTTATAATCATAGGTATTATTTACATAATAACCCTATTAGGTAAATAATTAATAAGCATATCTTTTAAAAAAATTGTAAATTATAAAATGATAATATAGTTCCTTAATCATTAAATGAAGAATGGGACAATTAGTTACTTTGTCCTGATTAATATGACGAACAAAATAATGATTCTTTATTAAAGTATTCGTGTTAACAATTTGATATAAATGTAATATATAATTTAATTAATTTTTTTTCTTCCAAATTTATATTTATTATAATATTTTTAAAGAAAAATAACAATTATGGAGGCTTTTTAACTGGATATAGTAAACTGAATTAGTTTTTGCTTGTTTAATTAATACTAAAGAAAAAAATTCAGATAAAGGTTAATTATATAAATACTAATATATTTAATAAAATGAATAAAATGGTATTAAAAAAAGATAAAGAAATTAATTTGTAAATACCTTTTAATGGATTTTTTTATGTTATTAATGATGAGGGAAAAGTTTAATAAAAATTAATAAATTTTGATAAAAGATAATTAAGTGTATATTGTGAACCAGTAATTTTGCTTTAAATAAATTAAAATTGTGTTTTTTTATTATAAAAAAAAAGAATAAAATTTTATGCAATCCATCATTTCTTTTATATAACTCTAGAATATAATATAGAAGTTTTGCTTTTTTAATTTCTTTTTAAGATTAATAAGAAGAAACATGGCCTTTTTCAAATTAAATAAGCCACAGAGTAAAAGAAAATAAAAATTAAAAAAAAAAAAAAAAAAGGTAGTATATGTAAATAAAAGCTATACTGAATTTTTAATTATATTAAGATATATATGCTTAATTATTTCTTGTATCTTTTTTATAATTTTCTTAAAAAGAATGAGAAGATTGGCTAAAAATCATTGGATTATTGAATAAAAGTTAATAATTGTTTTAAGTGGATTATTAATAATGTTTAATAATCCATTTTATGCTTTGATTATTTTAGAACCACATATGGCTGGGTATTTTTATTAAAAATAAAAAATAAAATAAAATATTATTAAAGTTCTTTTTTTGATATATTGTTTCTTACTAATTTTCTTGTTTTATTGCTTGTGTTTTGGATGGTTATTTTAGATAGAATTTAATCAGAAAACGCTTTAAAAAATTCTAAAGTTTTAACAGCTAAAAAAATTGTATTTGGATTAGTAATTATATTATTTAAGTGAATTATAATTTTAATTTATTTAACTAAGGTTTTATATTATTTTATTCTTTTAACATATATTGGGTTTTCATATAATTATTTTAAGGACCCTTTTGTTAATTTCGAAGATTCTTTTGGATTATTTTATGATTTTTGTAAATATTTTGGAATAGCTTTAATGAGTAAACAATTTAAAAATAATATATTCTTATAAATTTTATAATTAATTATTTTAATTTTACTATTAAAGCAATTTATTTCATTTATATACTTTATCTTTACGTATTGATTTATAAAAAATTTAAGAGTCTTATATGGAGAAACAGATTATTTGCAGTTTTTTCTTTATATTTTATAGTATGTCTTGCATTATGTAAAACATAATATTAAAATAAAAGATTATTTTTATATTAAAAATACATTAAATTTTGTATATCAAGTTTTATTTACCGGAGCTTTAAATACATTTAGTTCTTTAGGAAGCAGAATTCTTTTGTTTGTATGTGTATTAAATTTATATATTTATTACCTATAATATATGTATAGTCCTTCATAAGAAGGTTATTTAGGTATACTTTATTAATTAAATATCATTTAAGATTATTTTTTATAGAGGCTTAATTAATTGTTAATTTAGAATTAAGAAATAGACCATAAATTTATGAAATTTTAGATGATAATTTAAGTGGAATAAATATCTAAAGTAATGAGAAAAACTAAGATTAATTATAAATATAATAGAAAGAAGATGAAATAAAAGAATAAGAAGAATTTGTTTAATAATAATAAAATGATGATTAATAAACAACTAATTTAAAATTGTAATCATAAAACGAATAAGACAATTAATAATAAGATAATGATGCTTAATATGATAATTTAAATAAGACAGATAAAAATATTTGAAAAAAAATATATATAAAAATAAAAAATTCATAATATATAGATATAAATATATATATATATATATATATATATATATTTTTATATATTCATTTATATATAAATATTTATATAAATATGTTGTTATTAAAAAAATTAACTTAACTGTTAATTAGATTGTTATAATAAATTTTAGTTAAAATAAATATAATAATAAATTTAAAATATGAAATTTATATTTAATAAAATTTTATATATAATTAAAAATATTTTTAATTATTTATAGTAAAATCATATTTATAATTTAATTAATAATAAATATAATTTTTTTTTTTTTGCCAGAAAATATCATCAAATTTTTTCTTTTTAAAATATTTATAAATAATAAATATATAAAACAAAATGAATAGTAATTACAGATGCTGCCCAATATGTTAGTAATAAATACTTTCTTAAAATTATCAATCTCATATACTTTATTGTGAGAATAATTATAGTGTAAGCTAAACTTAACAAAAAGATATTTAGCTTTTTTCAAACATAAATTAAAATAGATAGTTAATGGAAGAAGAAGACATAATAAAATGTCCAAATTGTTATAAATTATTATAAATAGAAGAATTAGAAAATCATGAATAGTAATGTTCAAACAAACATAAAACATGTTATATGTGCAGTTAAACATTTCCAGAAAAATTAATTTTTTTACATTATCCATAATGTTAATAGCAAAATTTTTAAAATAATTAACTAATAAATAATAATAATAATAATAGTATATTATAATAAGAATAACATAATTCTCCTTCAAGTTAGTAAAATAGTTAATAACTAAATAATATGTTTGATGATTTAATTTTTATGCCACTTTTAAATATGTTATATTCAAATGGCAATTCTTAAATTAATACGAATCATAGAATATTTTCAGGAACAAATGTTCTTTTATAATAAAATCAATTACAAGGATATGAAAGACATATAAGTCACCTAGAAGAATAAAATGGGGATTTTAATTAGGCTTCAAACAGGTCATAATAATTAAGATTGTTACTTTTTAGATTGATTCAACTTAGATAATAAGTAGGAGCCGATAAAGGACTTTCTAAAGAATTAATAGGCCATTTGCCTGTACATACATTTAAAAATACGCCTAATTTAAATGAAGATCAAACTAAATGCTCTATTTGTTTATCCGATTATGAAGAATAGGAAAATATTAAAATGTTAAACTGTTTACATTCCTTTCATATTGATTGTATTGACTCTTGGCTTGTTAAAAGTTCAAAATGTCCTGTTTGCAAGCATGATTTAAAAGAACATTTATGATTTTAATTTTTTATAAATATATATATAAATATATTTTTAATAATAATTTCTTTCTTGATAAAAATATATATAAATTATTTATTTAGTTGTTCAGGAGAAAATATCTCTATAAATAGTATAACTATCTCCGAATTTAATTTATAATTTCTTATCATCTCTATGCCATTGAATTTGAATTTTTTAATCTTTTTCTAAATGTTTTTAATATTCATTAGTATCAATTTAAATTTCTTTTATATGTTTTCCACCCATTCCTAAAATAGCTCCGAAAAATCCAGTTGGCCCAACTTTCCAAATTCTCAAGCAAGAATCCTATAAACTAAAAGCCGCAATATGTTTTCCTTAATTATCAAAACTAAGAGAATCAATATAACATTCATTTCCATTTAAAACTCTCCATTTTACTGCTTCTCTTAAATCATAAATGAAAATTTAATATTATTAAGATCCTACAGCACATATAGCAAATTATTAAGACTACTAATGAAAAGATACATTTGTAAAAATTTTAAATATTGTATGTAAGGCTTTCGTTGCAGATTCATGGCATATTTTTCTATGTTATGGATTCTGGGGATCTAAAGTTCTCAAAATAGCCTCTATGAAAATCGGAAGTTACTTAATTGCATCATTGCATTTTACTTTTATATAATTCCTTATTATATCTATAATTGAACAGGGATAAAGTAGATGAATATCAAACGATTATATTTATTTTTTTACTATTGGAAGAAATTCACTTGAACATAAATCTGAAATTGAAATTATAGTTCTTTTTTTTTAATATTTTTTTTAATTTTTATTTTTGTTTTATTACTTTATGGTTAATATTTTCATTCTTTTTCTTATATTATCAGGTTGTTTTAAAAATTATTCTAATGATTAAATTGCCTTTTTTGTTTGATTTATTGGAATTCCTTTTATTAATTCTAAAGTTTCTTATTCAGTGTTATAATGGAAATATATATACATTAAATTTGACATCAATTATTTATAGTTAGTTATATGAGCTTTCCATAAATCACTACCTTCCGTTAATATTTTCATACAGGGAGCTACTAAATTTGGATTTATTAAACAATTATTTAGGTGAATTCCTGAAACTATTCTATGAATATAATTCTCTATCTAAAAAAAATAATAATTAAAATAATTATATTTTTATTGCATTTTTTATACATTAGATATTTATTTTTCACTAAAAATATTAATGTAAATTAATATAAGAAGCCAATTAATTTCAATTATACTAAACTCTTTTTATTAAAGATTGATTTTACTATCAGTTGTATTTTAGTCATTAATTTTTTATAAAGAATTATTTACAGAAGTTTCATCCAATTTAATGTTAATATCTTGCAAATTTGAATATATAGAATATAAACTTCTAATATCTTAATCTTTATTTATAATAGATGTAATCATTAAATTAATTGCTGAACTCATCATTTCGTTAGTTTCATCTACACAATATCTTGCTAAAATATTCAAGCTTAAACTTTTGAAGTTTTTGTCTATTTTTTATTTGTTTTTTGTTAATAGTGCAGCTGTTTCAAGCATTAAATTATAAGTTTACTTTTAAATAAATAAAATAAAAATAATTTATACTAAGAAAAATATATAAAACTTTTGAATCTTAGAAATTTCCTTAATGTATAAGATTTAACATTATACTTAAAGCTTATTAAGTTGATTAATATGAAGAGGTACTATATTAAGATTTTGGTTAAAGATTAAATGAAAAAGTTTCAGCCATTCCTTAATTTCCAACAATATAATTTAATATTGGCTTTTTATTTTCCAAAATGCGATTTATTTGTTAATCTAAACTATTGTCTATATTACAAGGAAAAACAAAAGGTAAATATGAAAAAATATTAAAATTTTCCTTTTTTTCTCCCAAATTCGCAATAATTTAGTTGTGCCTTTAACAATCTACAAAAAGAATAAATACTTAATTATTTATGTTAACTTATTTTATTTTATTTAGTCTTAGTTTTAATATTGCTATGCCACCATTTTTCATTTTACTTTAAAATGCGAAGTATTTTTATTTCTTTGGATATATTATATTTTTAAGAAATATAAATTATAATTATTTACTTTATATAAATAATTACTTAAATTATCCATAATAAAGATAATTATTAATGAATATTACCATCTATTTACAGTTAATCTCCTAATTATTCATATATATGTGAATTAGTTTTTGTAATTTTTGAACTTTCTTCATAATAATTAATAAGATAGTCATAGCTTCTAAGATTATATTATAAAATATTATAATTTTAGGAAATTCCATTTAACTGTTTAAATCCAGAAAACTATTATGAAAAAAAATTAAAAAATTAAAAAAAAACAAATATAAAATACTTTATGAATAAATTCTTATTAATTGCTTTTATTTTTATTTATAAGTCCTTTTAAATCAAAATTTTCACTATATTTCTTAAAATCTCCAGTTCTTTCAAATCTTTAAGTTCCAATATTCCAAAAATGAAGTAACCCTTCATTAGTAAGCACAATAATATAATCTTATATAGGATGGTAATATACAGCATAAATAGAACCTTGGTTAGCGTTTAAAAAGAAATCAACATTATTTTTTGAAAAATTATAAACCAAAACTGAATTATTAGCAAGTATTAAGCAAAGAGTGTTTTTAAAATAATTCTAAGAGTCTTATATTACTGCTTAATTTTAAACATATTATGCATTATTAATTAATCCAAAACAAACTATAGGTTTCTTAATATGTTTAATTGGAGATGAGAATACTTATTTATATACTTCAAGGTGATATATATCAATAATGTTAAGTTTATCTTTATAATTTATACCCGACTTTATTATTTGTTTTAAGCTAAATTTTAATATAGCTGTAAGTGATGATTCTGAAGAAATAATTAAAAAATCTTTTTTGTAATCAAGAAAAGTAATTTTTTTTCCAATATCAAAATTATATAACAAAATATCAAACATATCTTTTATTTCAGAATATTATAATGAAAAGCCAATAACTTTACCACTTTCAGTACCATAAAAAATATAAGGCTCTTTTTTTTCAACAAAGTTTAATGTAGAAATTGTTATTTTTTCATCAGGAAATTTTTCGACTTATTTTATTAAAAATAATAAATAATAATAAATATATAAATATATACAATAATATATATATATATATATATCTATATATATTTATAAGTATATATAGATATATTAATAAATATAGATATTTTAATATAACTATACAGATATTATTACATTTTTTATTTTTATATATTTAAAAGTAAAAATATATAATTATAAATATATATATATATATATATATTTAAATATAAATATGTATATATATATTAATGTTTATAATTTGAAAGTTTCTTTTTTTTTAAAAAAAATAATTTTTAAAAACAATAAAATTAATAATAAAAGGATTTTATATAAAATAATATTATTTTTTTTATTTATTTGTTAAAAAAAAAAATATATAAAATAATAAAACAAAAACAAAATCTATATATAAATAAATTTATATATTTATATATATAAATTTTAATAATATATATATTTATATAATTAATGATATATATAAAATATATTTATATAATATATATATATTTATTTTTACATAAATAGTTTCCATATTTATCATAAAATTATGTAGAAAACAAATTTTACTAATTTTTTTATTAACATAAAATATTGTTTTATTAATTAAGTTTATATCCATTATTAAAAATTAATAAATTTTTATTTATATTTTCTAATTATTTATTAATAATATTTTAGATATTATGTTTAAAAAAAATAATTTTTGTATCACAATATTAAATAGAAAATTTGATATCTTCTATATTATCTAATTTTTCATTATCAAAAATTATATTTTTAATTTAATGAATTTATTAAGTATTTTTTTATTCTAATATATTTTGCAATGAACATATCTATAAATTTTATAATAAAGAATCAAATTTAAACATAAAATTATAATCTGAGCCTGGAAAATAAAAAAAGTTAAAACGAATATTTAAATCATTATAATCATCATCAATTTGATTTAATTTGTTATTTATTTCAAACATTTTTATAGTCATATTTGATGATAAACTATTAGGCTATAAAATTATATATGTATATGATTATATATATACATATATATATATATTTATATATTTATATATTTTTTTTACGTCTTTATAATATGAAAATGATGCATAAGAAAAGCTTATGTCTTTTTCAAACATTTTTTTATTTAAAAAATGCAATTTTTCTATATCTTTAGTTGAAAGTAGAAGACATTTTGCAAATTTGGTTTAAATTAAAAATAAAAAACTATTTTCAAGAATTTCTATATTTATAAATTTATCTGTTTTTTTTTGTTTTCTTCTTTAATAGTTTTTTCATTTTTATCTTCTTCGTCGTCTTCTAATAGATCAATATAAATATTTTCATTTAATTATTACATTTTGTTTTTTTATGTTTTTGGTGTATTATTTATTAATTTTTATTATAAAAATTTTTCTGTTTTCATTTATAAATCATCCTATTGTGGATATGCTTTTTATTAACTTTATTATTATTATTAAATTATTTAAGGTTCATTTAATAATTTATAAATTTCATCTGTCTTTTAAAATATGAGACTTTTTTTAAATACAAAAACTGTATGTTTTTCATTAAGAATTTTAAATGTTTCAAGCTATTGTTTTAGAAACGTTATTTGAGCTTTTTGTACTAAATTACATTTTGCTGTTTTGAGATTTTATTTATATTCAGCTTAATTTTATATAAACATTTCATAATTGTTTAAATTTTCATCATAAAATTAGCTAATATCAAAGGCATATATTATATTCTATTTTTTTTTTTTAATATAAATATAAATATAAAAAGATAAAAAAGATATATTTATTTTAATTTTCTTTACTTTATTGTCTACTACAAAAGCTATTTTTTTTTCATTTTAAATTTATATATTTATAACACTTTTTGTTGATTCATCTAAACAACATACTTAAATATTCTTTAATTACCAAATATCTATTATTTCTATATTTTTTCCATTTCCTGCACATATTAAAAACCTACTATATTTCTAAACAACTATAGGAACACATATTTGTACATTTTAAATACTCTTAAATATACTATGTGGGGAAATATTTGTACATCTTCCATCTTATATATCCCATATTCTTATTCTATTATCAGTATGTATAGATAATAATGCTATTGGCATATCTTTCTTTTTTTTATAATATTTTTATTTTTATTTTATTTATTTTATATATTTTTTTGTTTTTTATATTCTTTTTTTTTATTTATTTATTTTACTAAAATATTGTATATCGGCTCATTTATTATTTGTAAACATGTGATATTACCAACTGTTTATGATAATGAAGGTGTACAAAATATTTAAGGTTCATATTTTATTTAATCTATTTATTAAGAAGTATTTATTTAATCATTTTATAATTTCCAAATTATTATTTCTCCGTTTAAACCTCCAGTTATTAATGTAGATGTATTTTTTATATTCTAATAATGAGTTATTTTATGATAGTTTGTTAAATTGGTTTATAAGCATATTGGTAAAAATAATTTCGGCATTTTTTTTTTAAAAAAATATATTTATTTCTAAATTTTTTATTATTTATTATTTATATTTTACAATTTTTATTTTTTATTTGATATAAAATAATATTTATAAAATGAAATTAAAATACTTTTATAAAAAAATCAATTATTATATTTCTAAATATAAAAATATAATAAAATTAATTAAAATACAAACAATACATTATTGAACACTAAAATTAAATATATAAATTTTATATAAATTTAAATATAATATTAATATATATAAAAAAAATATATATTAAACGTAAATATATATGTTAAATTAAACTAGATCATTGAGCAATTCTAGATAAAAATAAAATTAAAGTAAAACTAATTGCTAATAAAAGTTGGTTTCAGATTATATATTACCTGTTTTAACACTTAATAAAGATAATTCTGTATTAAACTCTAATAAAAAGAAATAATATAATACAAATAATTCTTAATAAAATCATTTTTTAATATCTAAAAATAATTCTAATAATAATCAATATATTATTTATAAATAAAAACACAATTAAAATTTTGATTAGAAAGTAACAAAAAAATTAACATTTAAAATTATAATATTAAATTTAAAAGATTTAAATTCTAGTATTATTAAATGCTTTAAGAAAATAATTTAAATCTAATTAAATAGTAACATTAGAAATGTGTTTAAACGTCTAATAATTATTGATATTATTATAATCATAAGAAAATTTATACGGAGATGATATGAAAACTCTATTTTAAATTCTTTTTTAAATGATATATTGTACAGATTAGAATATTTTAAATACTTTTTAAAGTATAGATAATAATAGAGAATTGAATTTTAATTCAATAAATCCTTACTTTTATTATGTTAATGTTTTTAAATAATAAGTAGAAAATAATTTAAATATTCAAAATGAAATTAAAAAGGAAAAAGATCATATAATTGAATACTTAAACTAATAAATTTAGGATTTAAATAAATAAATAAAAAGTGAAAATATAAAATGGTAACTTAAAATAGATTAAAATAATTAAGAAAACGAAAAATAATTATAGATTTTAAAAGAAAATGTAAATAAATTACATTTTTATTTCAATTTAAATAAAAAAAAAGATATTTGAGTTTAATGAAAATTTATTCAATCATTAAAAAGAAATAAATTTACTAAAAGAACAAATTATAAAAAAAAATATAAAATTGGATGAATTAGAAGCCAAATTATAAAAATAAGGTTTATAAATATATGATTTACAAAATTAAAATTATGAATTTAAATAATAAAACTAAAAACTTTAGGATAATTATAATCTAGAAATTAATAAAGTTAAAGATTTAGAAAATTAGAAATAAGATTTATTAAATAAAATGCTTAATTTAACACCTAAATAATCATTTAAAAATGTATTTAATTATTAATATTTATATTTATTTTTTTAATATTTATTTATTTTAAATTAGTTGTTTAATAAAATTGGAGTTTTATATAGTTTAGATGATTAAATATAAAGTACATCAGATAAAATGATATTATTATAATAAAAAATAGAAGAAAATATGGCTGAATTATCTCTTTTAAAAGTATAATAAGTTAATTAAAAAAAAAGGTCTGGAAAAAAATAATTCACCTTAAATATGTAAGTTAAAAAGAATACTGATTAAGAGAGATAAATTTCTCTTTCTCCAAGTAAACTAAAAATTATAGATAATAAAAATTAAATTATTAGACTTTAAAGTATGTAAAATTTTCCTTAATAATAAATAAGTATGTAAAAAATTTAATTAGTAAATACTTAAAATGACATTTATTCAAGTAAAAAAAAGAAAATTCTAATCTTAAAATAAAAAATAATAGTTTAACTGAAATAGATGAAGAAATATGATTTTCTTTATTTTATTTTTTTCCTTTTATTTTTTTCCATATAAAAATATATATAAATATATTATAATTATAATTAATATCGATTATTATTTGAAAGTAAATGAATTATATCTTTTTTTTAAATTATATTTGTTAAAAAATGATTTTAAGAAATATATTAAAAAAACATTTTAATGTTTTTAATTAAAAAATTTAATAAAAGATGCTTCTTTTTTCGAATTATAAAATAAAAATGAAAAAATATAAAAAAAGTTATACTAAATAATATAAAAACTGGAGTCCGAATCTCCTTTTAATGAATCTGAAAAAACTATGATGATAATGATGAATTTGGGAAGTTAAAAATTAATACATTAAGAATTCGATGAATCATATAAAATATTATAGAGGCTTTCTGAGCATTTAAACTTGTATCAAAATATAAATATGCCTTTTTATTAATATCTTTTACCAGGAATATTATTTAGATAAGCTAACATTTTAGAAAAATAAAATTAAGTAGAAAAAGCATTGGAAAAATACATTGAGGTAGTAACAAATATAGAAGATTTTAATGAAAATTCAGAAACTTTAATAGAGGAAAATATTCATTTATTAGGAAAAACATATGAGCAATTAGGAAATATATACAAAAAGAAAGGAAATGATGAGAAAATGATATTATTTTATGAAAAAGCATTAACTTTAGCTGAAAAAACTTATTAAAAGAATTCGTTTTTTCGAATAAAAATAAATTCAATATTAGGAGACTTTTATAGTAAAAAAACAATTAAAAATGTATTCCTTACCTTGAATTTATTATTTAAAATATTGATATTAATATCTAATAAGAAAGTCATGTTTTTACACTTGCTTGTATTTAATTTATTGAATTTTGTTTAAAAAATAAAGAATTTTTAAAAAATTTAGACATAAATTTTTTTTCTTTGATTGAGTAAAAAACTTAATAAAAAGTAAACTTTATTGACCCTATGTAAATTTCAATTATTTATAGCTTAAAAGGCGACTATCTAACTTTAATAGGAGATATAAATAATGCTATTTTAGCATATGATTAAGCTTTAGGTATTGCTCTGAAAACATTCAAGAAAGAACATTAATTTGTATAAAATATAATGGAAAAAATAAAAAAAAATATTTAAAAAATATGAATAATAAATGTAAAGATATTTTAATATTAAAAAATTTATTTTAAAAGATATAATTTTTTTTATAAAAAAAAAAAAAAAAAAAATTATAATAATTATTAATATAAAAAAATAAATAAAAAAATAATAGATATACATATATTATCAATAAAATATTAAGATTATAAATATTTAATAATAATAATAAAAAAAAAATTATTTATTAAAAATAATAATAATAATAATAATAATAATAATAATAATAATAAAAATTATATAATAATAGTATATATACTTATAATAAATATAAATATTTTAATAAAAATAACTTTAAAAATATTAAAAATAAAAAAAAAAAAAATTATTATAAATAAAATGATAATAATCAAAATTATAATAATTTTTTTATATAATAATAATTTACATATATATTAATTTTTTAATAATATAAGTTTAAATATTTTTATTTATTTATTAATTATTCTTGCAAAATTTAATATATATTTTATTAATTTAATTTTTTTTTTTATTTTTTTTTTTTACAATTAGAAACTTAATAATTTATAATTATCATTTAAATATTTTTTAATTTTAATAAAAAATTATAATTATTATGTTATTTAAATAATATATTAAAGATATATAATATTTAATAATAATATTTTTTAATTTGTTATATAAATAAAAAATTTTTTATTATAATTAAATGAAACTAATTAATTTAATTTTAATATATTACTTTTATATAGTTATACATTTTTATTATATATATACATATAATATTAAAATTAATATAAATTCAAATATTTTATTAAATGATTTTAGGCTAATTTTATATGGTATAAATTATATAATTATTTTTTTTATGATATTTATAATTGATAAATTTTTTTATTTATATACTATTATGCACAAAAGTATATAAAGAAACAATATACTAAATATAAAAATTAATTTTTTTTTTTCAGTTTTTTAATTAATATCTTATTTTATTAAATATTAGCATTTGTTTAAAAATTTATTATAATTTTAAATATATTGAGTATAATAATAATATTCTAGTTATAGTTTATTTATAAATATAATTAATAATAAAAAAATGTTTTTTATATATTTATTTATATAAATTATTTATATTCCTATTATTTAAATTAATATTCTCTGATTATTATTATATATTTAAAAAAATATATATAATTATATTAAATAAAAATTAATTTTTTTCTTTTATTTTTTATATATTATATTTTATTAAGTTTTTTTTTTAATTAAAATACTATATTAATTTTATTTAAAATTCATTTTAATTTAAGAAAAATAATTTATAAATTATAAAATTTAATTTATTATATTATGTTTAACTATCAGAATTGAACTTATATTAAATATTATTTTAAAATTTAAAATTTTCATAAAAACAATTAAATTTTTATTACATAGTTTAATTAAATCAATTAGGTTTATTTATAAAATAAAAATCTATTAAACCTTTATTATAAAAAAAACATTATTTTCAAAAGATTAATTTTTATTTAGTGCAAAGATTCTAATAGATTATTTAATATCATAAAATATTTTTAAATATTCAAAAAAAATAATAATACTTTAATTGAAATTTGTTAGGTAATCAAACGCAATTATATTTATATCTCTATTTAAATATATTAAATAAACATTTATGTTAATTTAAAGGTGTTTTTATTAATAATTAAGAATATTTCTTTTTATTAATTAAATATAAATATTTAATTAAATAAATTTAAATTAATATTTAAATTAATTTTTTTTATTAAACATTAAAAACATATTTAATAAAAGAATTTTTTAAAAATTATATGATACTAAAATAATAATAAAATTATATATCTTTAAAATAATGAAACAAAAAAATTTATTTATTTTATTTTAATTAATTAAATAATCATAATAATAGTTATAAATATTTAAGTTATAATTTTTTTCATTTATAAAGTTTTTATTCTAATATTAAAATTCAAAAAAAAATTTAATATCTATATATTTAAATTATTTATTATATTATAAATATTTCTTATATTTTTATTTAATTATTTAATATATCTATTCTATAATATTTTATTATTTTGATATGTATAATAAATTCTATTTATTTACAAAAATATAAAAATGCTTTTTAACTAATAAATAAATATATCTAAAATAAAGATAAAAAAAATATATTAATTTTTTTGTAATTTTTAAATTTAAATATATTTTTATTATTTCTGCAAAAATTCTTTTGATATTATAATTATTTAAAACATAAATAAATATAAAATTAAAAAATATATATATATATAATAAGTTTATTCTAATTATTTAATATTTTTATAAAATAGTAAAAAATAAATAAATTATTATAAAAACAAAACTAAAATATTAAAAAAATTGAATGATGTAAATACCATTAGAAATCAGCGATGATAATTCTTTTAAGTTTTCATTAAGGGAATTATTTTTATATTTTGGTCCAGGTCTTCTCGTATCAATTGCTTATTTAGATCCAGGGAATTTATCAGCAGATATAGATTCAGGAACATCTGGAAAATACCATTTACTATGGGTATTATTTTTGTCAACATTATTAGGATATTTTTTCTAAAACCGTGCTATGACGCTAGGTTTAGTAGCCGGGAAAGACATGGCTAAATTATGCCGAGTGTATTATTCTCGTAAAACATCAATTTTATTATGGAGTATGTGCGAAATAGCAATAATGGGGAGTGATGTATAGGAGGTTTTAGGAAGTGCATATGCTTTGAATGTTTATTTGGATTAAAAATCTGGATAGGAGTATTATGCACTATTATTTCGACAATGTTTATTCTTTAATAAAATAAATTGGATAAAGAAAATTGGAATTTCTATTTGCCTTTTTTAATAGGAATCATGGCTATTCTTTTTTTATTGAACTTGGATTAATTCAACCTGATCCAAAAGAACTTTTTAAAGGTATTTTTATACCTTATGTTCCTAATTCTGCATTGTAGTAAATGGTGGGACTTATTGGATCTGTTTTGATGCCGCATAATTTATATTTGCATTCATCTTTAGTTTAAGAGAAAAAAATTCACAAATAAAATATTGGCTTGTTGAAAAAATCTATTTTCTATTTTAAAATAGAAACGGGAATTTCACTTCTTGTTTCCTTTTTTATTAGTATGGCTGTTATTGGGACTTTTGCTTTTTGGTATGTCCCTGGTGGTGGTCCAGATATTGATTTAACATAAGCTGGGGATTATTTAGATTCTCATTTTGGAATTTATGCTAAATATATTTGGGGAGTGGGACTTTTAGCAGCTGGATAATCTTCTACTATTACAGGCACTTTGGCAGGTTAATATGTAATGTAAGGGTTTATTAAATTTAATGTTGGTAAATTTAAAAGAGCTTTCTTTACTAGATTGGTTGCTATTGTACCTTCTATACTTATTGCTTTTTTGGGTGATAGTAATTAAGATTTTAATAATTATTTGAATGTTTTATAGGCTATATAATTACCTTTTGCTATTATACCGTTACTTAAACTTTCTTATAATAAATAAATTATGGGCAATTTTACTATTGGTAAAATTGAAATTACACTTTTGAGTATACTTTCAGCAATTATTATTGGAGTTAATTATTATATTCAAGTGCCAGATAGTATTGACTGGAGTTAATTTTAGGTTTATATTGTCATAATTGTTATGGCTTTATATTTCTTATTTATGGTTATTATTCTTTTTACTAAACTTAAACTTTAATTGTAATCTGATTAAGATTAGACTAATAATTCAAAAATTTATGAAAAACCGACATATGATTTAAAATAAATTTAAAAAACAGAATGATTTTTTTTTATAGAATAAAATTAATTAAATGATTAGAATATTTATTTATATCCAATATTAATTGATTTTATATTATTATAATGTATTTAGTTGACAATTTTTTATTTATAATTTTAATATTTAATTATTTTTATAGTTATAATTTAATATTTAAATTAAAAGTTTAAAAAAAATATATAAGTTTAATAAAAATATTTTTTAAAAAAATATATTTTTCTTCAAGTAAATAAAATAATATGATTTTTTTTAAAAAAATATAAGTTTAATTAAAATTTAAAATAACATAATAACTTTATAATTTATATGTTATCTTAAAATATATAAATTTTTTTTATATTTTATTAAAATTGCTTTAAAAATAAAATATTTTTCTTTACTTTTTTTTAAAATTAATCAATAATATTTATAATTTTTTTTTTATTTTTATATATTATTTTATTTTATTTTGTTTCAATTTCCATTTGTATTCATCTAATTCATATTATTTTTAATTACATCAAAGTAAGGATGTTCGATAGCATCTTTTGGGGTTATTCTTAATGCCTAATAAATTAATAATAAATAAGTAGATTATTTATAATTCTAAATATACATGATCATAAACAAGCATTTTTGATAATAAATCTATTGCTTATTCATTACAAAGATGTCTATTTTCATCAGTAACAAATTTATTCCATGGTTTTTTAGGATAACTAATAATATTAATATTTTTTATTAAAAAAAAAAGATATAAATATTTACTTTCCCAATATTTTATTATAAGCTGGATCTAAAATCAAATCATATTTTTTAATATATTTATAAAGTTCTTCAGTTCCTAAAACTTTAGCTATTTTAACTAATTAATCATAATTATCAGAACCTTAAAAGAAAGGTTCTTTTTTAAAAATCTTATATTTATTAATAGAAAATAATAAAATAATAAAAAAAAAAAAGAAACCATAGATGCAAGCATAGCTCCAGTACTCCAAATATCTAAAGAATAATCATAGTAATTTTAATCAACAAGAAGTTCAGGTCCTTTAAAGTATCTAGAGGCGACCTCTCAAAATAAATAAATAATTTTTGTTTAAAATAAAAGTCAAAAATAATAAAAAAGATAAAAATATAGTTATTTATATAAATTTTAAATTTATAAACAAAAAAATATTTACTCTAACATTATAGTCTTATCCTGGATGATAAAATTCAGCTAATCCCCAATCTATGACTTTAAGAAGCTTTTATTTGGGATCTACAATAATGTTTTGGGGTTTAATATCTCTATGCATAATTCCTTTGCTATGACAATAATCTAGTGCTTTCATTATTTCAAACAAATAAAATCTAATTTCGTAATCTGAAAGATTTGGAAACATACTGCGGAAGTCAATGTTTTCTATTTATTCAAATATCTTAAAGGAAAATTTATTTTTAAATTATTTTTATATAAACCAATGATGGTGTTTTCGATGCAGAATCCCGTACTACATCTTGAAGTTCAACTATATTTGGTCCTCCTTTGAGAATTTGTAAAATTTTTATTTCTCTTTTTATTTTGCTCTTTTTTACTGGTTTTAGGACTTTTATTATTATTTTCTTTTTGGTTAAAACACTTATGCCGTCAAATACTTCAGAATATTTTCCTCTTCCTATTTTTCTAATTACTTCATAGTCATCTTAATTACTATTTTTATTATTTATTTTATTGTTTAAATATATATATATATATAAATATATATATATATATATATATTTATATTTATTTGAAATTTTATTTAAACCCCCATTCATTTTCGTATTCATCATAATTCCAATATTCTTTAGGCATTAATTAGTTTATTTTTGCATAATACTTTGGAAGAACTACCTTGCTTGATGGATTCATTTAACTTTTTTTAATTTTATTATTAATATATTATTTTAATTATATACTCTTTTTTTTATTTTATTTTTTTTTAAATATAAAATAAAAATAAAAAATCAAGAAATCAAGAATAAATGATGAAATTATAATAATTAAAAACTTTAAAATATTATTAATTGCTTGTTAATATATGTACTATTTTAAAATTTAAATTATATGTATATATTTTTTATAAATACATATTATTATTCTTTATATATCTTTTATTAATAATAAAAATAATATAAATTATTTATTATTATTTTACTATTTATTGTTCAATTATAAAACATGATCTTAATTTATGGTTACAATATAAATAAATTATTTACTTCGTTTAAATACTTCAGATAAAACTCTTAATTTACAGTATTTAATTTATAAATAAATAAAATTTATATATATTTAAATAAATTAAGTTTTTTAAGCAAAATTTATTTCGCTCTTAAAATATTTATTAATTTTAAGTTTTTTTTTATAATTAAAATGTATGTATTTTTATAATTATTGCTTTTTTAATAAGCAAAGACTATTACTATAAATTTAAGGTGTTTAAATTTTTTTCATAAGTTTAACATATTTTTAATATTTAGCTTAAAATCTTTTAAGAAATAATAAAATATATACTTTTTTATAATTTTTTTTTTTTTTTATTAATTAAAATAATATTGAAAATTAAAATATAAAGGATTATTGTTTTTATCAAAAACTCTTTACTAATATTTTATTTGTAAAATAAAAACTTTATTTTGAATATTCAAGAAATATAATATGTATTTTATTTTTTTTAATAAGTTTGGTTAAATAAATAGTTTTATTTATTTTTATATGTAAAAAAAAAAAAAATAACTTTTAATATTATTTTATAAATTTATATAAATGTTTTATATACATTACAAAATTTATATTTAAAAAAAAGTAATTTTAAAATAAATATATTTAAAAAATATATATATAAATAAAATATATATTTATATTAATGAACGAAGAATATAATCAATCAAAATTTTTAAAATTACCAAACATAAAATATGGATCTACAATATCTATATCGCACTTCAAAGATGAAAATGCGTTTGTATATGTAGATGGTCATGTAAAAAAGAATGTAATGTTGCGAAGTTTCAAGATATATAAAGATAATATTCAATAAAGGAAAAAGTAAAAGCGAAATAGTTAAAAGTTATAATAAAATAATAACTAAAATATAGGATCATTAAAATAAATAACTGAAGAGGATTTTCAAAAAAATTAATAAAAAAATGAATATGTAGAAAATAAAGAAAAGAGAAATGATATCAAAAAATTAAAATTTTCGAATTGTTTATTTATGATTTTCCCTAAATTATCAAATTCTTAAAAGCTTAAAATCGTAAAATAATATTCTTATGAAGATTCTGATTAAGATTCTGATAAGAATAATGAAGATGAAATATATAATGACTAAGATGAAAGCGAAAAATTAAATAATAATAAAAAAGAAAATCAAAAAAATACTAAAAATTTAAATAATAATAAAAGCATTAATAACGAAAATTAGGAAGAAAAATCAGAAGGGTCAGATGAAAATGAAGAAAAAAATAAATTAAATTATAAATAAGACTAAATAGAAAAATAAAGAAGCCATTTAATGAATGAATATAAATCCAATTTTGATACTTTTAAAAAATAAACAAATAGCATAGTTTCTTATAATTCCGTAATTTAACTTTTGCATTTAAATTCTTGTAAATGGTTAGCTTGTAAACCTATGGAAGCAAAATATGAGAAAGAAAATTTTAGGATTACTTTAGATGATTATACTTCTGACAATACTATGTTTAAGATTTTACCTACTTTTAAATATTAAAAAGATGGAGATTAGTCTATTTTTGCAAATGAAATTGTCTATATAGCTAGATATTAAGATATTAATAATAAAATGACTTTTATTAATACTTCAGAGGAAATCATATTATTAAAATAGCCATCTCCATCTACTAATTAATCTCAGATGTAATAATCTTAACAATAAAATTAATTTTAAGGATAAATATAATAAATTAATTAAGTTTAATAATATACTAATGGTTCGTCTACAAGATAACTTTAAACTAATGTTTCTTAAAACGAGAATAACTTAAAAACCGCTATTACAACTAATAATATTGTAAATTTACATAATGATCTTGATAAACCTATTGATAAACGAGAACTAAATGGATCTTAAGAAAATCATGTTAATTTTAAATTGAATTTATTCTAAGAATAATATTAGGAAAATTGGAAGTATTTACTTTGCGGAGATGTTGTGTGGATTCATCATTCCGAAAGTGCCTGTTAAATAGGAGTTTAAAGAAAATAAAAAGGTGTTGATAAGGTAACTATATATATTTTTTATTAGTATATATATTTATTTTAAAGTATGTTTTCTCATCACTTAATTTAAATACTTGGCTTAGTAAAGAGAATTTAGAACTAAAGGTTTTAAGTACAAATAGAGGATAAAGTTATGAATAATATTCTGGGAATACATTTGGTATGTGGTTAATTGAAAGTGAATAAGTAAATGCCGGGGGATACATTTAATACGGAAAATACTACCGTTTAAAACATTTATCATCCGGTTTTTTCTTATCTGTTGAACGCCGAGAAACCAATGATGATTAAATTGGCAAAAAATCAGATAATATAAATGACTATTATTAACTTATATTAAAAGAAGTGCCTGATGAAACTAATTTATTTGAATTTACATGTTTGAATACTACATAAATGCTTGAAAAGTCGAAATATGTGAGTTTGTAGGCTTTTGTGTTTTTAAAAAATAATCGATATAATTTATTTGTGGACATTTTTACAAATAATCTTGGGCCAAATGTCGGAAAAGTAGACTATCCAACTTTATAGTATTAAGAAGATGAAAAAATGCTTTTTAAACTACATTTGGCAGATAAAAATGATGTTTTTGAAATCAATTATGTAGTGAGTTGTTTTTCTTATTTGGTAAAAATTGCTTGCTAATTGGAAGAAACTTAAGAACGTTAAAAAGATACGCAAATAATGTTTCTTTTATAAAAAAAAATTATAAGTGCGGCTAAATGTATATATAAGTTGACTCAATTTTGCAATAATAAGGCTTATAATAATTCACCAAATTAAAAATATGGAAGTTCAAACAAATCTCGATAAAAATTATTAAAAGAATAATATTATATTGATATTTTAATAAAGATTCTTGAACTTGCTCTTTAAAAAAGCGAGCTTGATGAGTGGTAGAAATTCAAATAAATATATTTTAATAAATAATAATAATAATAACAACACTAATAAAATCAATAAAATAGTTAAAACTTATAATAATTTAAAACAGAACAGTCTGAATAATCCTAAAGCTAAAAAATAAAAAAAAATGAAAAAGAATATATGCATTTTCTAGCTATAAAAGTGAAATTTTGTATCCAAATATATAGTTTATTATAAAATATATGTAATGAAAATGAGACTAACTAGATTTATATTTTCGATTTACTTCCTTTTTTTTAATTACATTGTAAATATATACCTGCTGCAATAAATTGTATGTCCAATATTTGTAAATAAAATAAACTCCTTTTGTAGAAATTGAATGAGAATCTATAAATATAATTCGATTTTTAATAAAACTATTACATAAAAGAAGATTATTCTAAAACTGTCAAATTTCTCATTAATCTTTATGATGGAAATCCTCGTAAATATAAAGAAAGCAAAGAATTCAGGAAAATACCATTTACTTAGCATGAAAAATTGAATTGTAGGCCGATTAATTTACTAAACTATTTCATGAATTTAATTTGGGATGATAAAGCCTTAAGAAAAGCGGATTATTTAAGATTTCTGAGTGATATTTGTATATATAAGGACAAAGGAATTACTATTAATTAGGAAAATATATTCAAATTATATAAAAAATTCTCTTGTATGAAAAATGATTTGAATTAAGAAAATATATTTTCATAAAATGGGGAATTAATTAAACCTGCTAGCTTATAAGAATGGAATTTGATTTCTTAGTAATTAATTTTTTATTCGAATCTTTCTAAAGGAAGAAACTTTTTATGGAAATAAGAGTTATAAGGTTAATTTAGAAAAGATCTTTTATTTAAATAAATATGGGTCAATAATGATGATAGTTAATTATAATCTAAACTATGTTCTTGTCTTTGTAGACTTTCAATGAGTCTTTATATTGATCATGAGCCTTTATGTAGAAGCTAAAAACCGAACTATTGTAGGCTTTTTAATGATATTTTGATTGGTTAGTAAACGCAAGAAATGCATGTTTTGGCTCTCAGGGAATCAATATAAAACGAAGTTTCTGATTACTAAAATCTTTTACAAAATTTGAAATTTTATATAGAAAAAGTATACCAAAATATTGAAAACTAGATAGAAATTTTTAAACCTTAAATTAATAATAACATTGATTAATAAGATGGGGAAAAAATTAATATTAAAAAAAATAATCCAGAAAATCAAGTATCTCCAAATGACATTTGCTCTTCTGTACTTTTACTTACAGTAACTGAAATGCTTGATTTGTTATTATAATTGGATGTTTATGAAATTGTTTAAAAGGAAGATGATTTTGCTGATATTTTACATTGTTTGTTAAGAATTCTTTAATATGATAAAAATAATATTAAGTTTATGGCAGCTATGTATTTGTAAGAGAAAAACTCATAAAATAATAAATAATTAACCGATGTTGTATAGAATCTTACTTCTGGATTTTGTGGAATTACTGATTTTTTCAAAAATTTAAGTAATTTTTTTATTTATTTTATTATTAAAATATATATATATAGTTGAATTAATAGCTTCTTCTGAAAACAACAAAGATTAAGATGGAGACGCTCATCAAAATTCAGGAATGTTTGAATTTTCTAGTATTGATGATAATTTATTGTTTAAAAATCCTATTATGAAAGGTTTTTCGGCTCTTAATAATTATTTGGAAAGTATCATACATGAAGATTCTTATTTAATATAGAATGAAATTTAATTAAAGATGAAGATTTGCGATGTATTAAATAAATTTCTTTATTTCCATTAAAATTATCTAATTACTAATTCTCTTTTTTATTTTAAAGAATGTTGTGAATTATAAGATTCAACAGTAAAAAAAAAATGATTATAAATATACAAAAAAAAAAATAACTAGACTGAAAAATTATAAGAAAAATATTACAATAATGAAATGTTATTATAAGCAGGAAAATAATTAAATTAAAACCTTAACCCACATGCAGATCAAAATAACATTAATAATTTAAATGATCCAAATAGGAATAATTAAATACAAACAAAAGGTCCAATAGTTGCTTAATAAACCAAAAAAAGTACATTTATCTAAAAATCCTAATAATAAGAATAAAAATAAGGTAAATAAACTTCTTAATAATAATCACTATAATAACCATCAGCTTCAAAAAATAATATTTTTTCAAGTTTTGTATCTGGCAAAAAAGATAAAACATAATAAATATTAAATCCTATGATTTCAATAGATGTTGCTTTTAATCGTTGGTGGAATTATATGTTTGAAACTAAAGGAATAGGTATATTGCCAAGAATATCATTAACAGGAATACGTGATATAGATAAATAATATGCAGATATGGATGAAAACTAATTATTTAATCTAAATCCAATGTAGATAGTAAAATAAGAAGCAACAACTAACTTTAAAGAATATTAAAATGATAATAAAAGTGATAAAATGCATGATTTTGACACCCTAATGACTATATCAGTTAAGAAAATGAAAAATGAAAAAATAGGTTAACCGTCTGTTTCTACTCTTCCTTCATTATTATGTTCTTTTTTATAAATACACGATCCGGAGTTAGAAAAAAGTGTACTTAATATAATGATGAGATTATTTAATTAAAGAATCGAGTTAATAGAAAATTTAGCTTAAATGTAAATAATTTTCGATCAAGATAAGACTATTCTTTTCAAGTTTTTAGAATAAAAACTTCATGAATTATATAAATATACAGAAAAAAGTGAAATATGGTTTTAAACATTAGAAAAGACAAATGATTCGAAGAATAATTTCATTGTAGAGGAAAATTGTGTTTATAAATTACAAAATTTGATAAAAACAATAAATAACGGACTTTATTTGTAAATAAGAATCGAAAATAATGAAATATATGTCGTTTAAGATGAAATAGATCCTTAAAAATAAAAAATTCACAAGTTTATTAAAATATATGAGCCTATTCTTAATTTAATTTAAGAAGGGATGTAACATTTTACTGAAATTATTATGAGTGATGTATATACGATTAGATCCAAAGAACTATTATATGATCTGTTCTATTCTTCCTTTTAATATTTGAGGAGATTTGTATAAAATAATGTTGAAAATTAGTTGTTAATTCATCAATTTTAGAATGTAATAATAAGCCATTTATAATTCGACTTAGGTTAAATAGAACTTCTGTGTGAAATATATAAGGATAATGGTGATTTAGTATAAAATTTAGATATTGAAATGGTCGAAATAATGCTTTCTTTGATAGAACATGAAGGAAGATAAGTTCGTTTTTTAGATTTTCTAATAACTATATAAAAAGTAAAATCAAAAATGATATTCGAAAACTAATTACTTGTTTTAAATTCATTCCTTCCAATGGATGGTTTATCAGAAAAAGAGTTCAAATTAACGTATACTGATGGGGTAAAAAATAATTCAAATCTATAGCTTTATTTCGATGATGTGGGGAAACTTGAGAATTAAAATTTGATATAAAAACTATCTTAAAATTCATTTAATGATACTTATATTGATGAACCATTTAAATATCATGCTTAATTACTAAAATGTTTGCTTTTTGCAACTTTATAGGCTAATATAGAAAATGAAGACCCTGTGTTTGTTTAAATTGATGCCGATTAATTCAATATTAGTGTTGCGAAATTAAAAAAATCATTTACTTTTAATTACTGTTTAGATATTTTGTTAAAGGAAGATTATTTTGTTAGCTTTGAAGAATAGTTAGAAAATAATTTCGATATAACTTTTAAAAAATAAGGTTTTTCATATTTTAAACCTTTTGTTGCTGATTTTATTAAAATTGTGCACATCTTTTCAGATTCGAGTTCTTTAGAAGATCTTAGTAATAATGAATTATCTTATACATAGAAATAGATAGCTGTTTTTGCACAAAAAGAAGGACAGAGACTTAATGAAACTTAAGAATAATATTTAAAAGTAAATTATATTGATTATATATATGTGAATGTAGTGGGACTTTTCTTAGCTTATTATGAGAAGTATTTAAAAGTGAAAAAAGGGGATAAATAATAAGAAAAATAAATGATGATAGATATTTAGGAAAGGAAGGATTTTATTGCATTGAAAGATTTTATGAAAGTGTGCAAAATAAAAATGGTAAAATGTAAAAAAATAAAAAAAAGACTTAGTGAGGAAATAAATTAAAGAGCAGATTAATTAAATAGATAATTTTTAATTATGAAAAGTTCAAGTAATAATATGTTTGATGATTTTGATAATGATATTGATGATTTTATGGATAATTATATTATTTCAGATGAAGAATAATAAAATAGTTAAAAATCTTCACAATCTTCTTAAAATTCTGAAAATGAAAAATTAATTAAAATCAAAAAAGACTTAATATAACAATAATAATAATAATAAAATATATAAAGATAAAATAATTCGATTTTAAAAACAAACTAAGAACCTCGAACTTCCTTTAATAAGAAAAAAGAAGTCAATTTTTCAAAAAATATATAATAAGATCAATAATAAATTTAATAAAGATCTTCAGAAAGAATAATTAATGGAAAAAATATAAATGCATTTTCTATTTTTAAAGATTAAACATGTAGTTTTTTAGAATTTAAATGGAATACATTTGTTTATGCTTTAAATAATTCAGAATTTATAAATAAATTAATTGAAAAAGAGGTAAAAGCGTTTGCTGATGCAATTTTAAATGTTGAACTTTACGTTGATAAAGAAATAAACAAATAAATAGATCCAAAACTCGATCTTAATTTAATTCTTAAAAAATTCATTAAATTTCTTCAATTTAGTTTAAATGATAAAAAAAGTAAACAAACAACTCTTACTTTACTAACTGTACTTAGAAGTATTGTGGAAAAAGACAAGGAAGAAATGATTAGTAGATAAAATTAATTAGATAAATTAGGAGCTACTTAAATGATTCTAATTGTTATTTCTGAACATTCTCATTTATTAGATGGAGAGTTATATATTAATTTCTTATTATTTATTAACACTTTACTTAAAAATGGTAATGTAAGAGTTTAAAAAACAATTTATGAATTTTTCATTAATTAAAGCAAAGTAATAATATTTTATATACATATATATATATATATATATATATATATGTATATATATATTTATATATATATATATTTTATATTTTATTTAATTATAGACTGAACTCATATTTAAAAAATTTCATTATTTTATTAAAAAATAAATTGAATATGTTGAATAAGAAGCTCGTTATAAAAAAAGATAATAATTATAAAAAGAACGTAAATATTCATCAACTATATAGCAAGATGATTTACAAGAAGGCATTTCTTAATTAGAAGATGAAGGTGGAGGTGATGATGAAGATGCTTCTTCAAGTTTCACACATTCATAGGATATGGTTATATTAGAAAATATTTTAGAATTTCTTAAATAATGCGTAGAAGGACATTATTTAGAAATGTAAAACTATATAAGAGATTAGTTTAATTTGAGATAAAAACATGATATGATTTCATATTTGGCTGATTTATTAAAGGCTTATTACTTCGAAGGAGGAACTAAATAATATTACGATAATATGAATAGATGTATTGATACTCTTTCTGAATTAGTCTAAGGTCCATGCTATCTTAATCAAAAAGCAGTTTCTGGAAGTAAGTTTTTCGAAGTTATTATTGATATTTTGGATAGAGAATTCAAAAAAAAAGTAGTTTCTGATGAAAGCAAAGTAAAAATTTTTATTATTTTTTTATTTTTTTTAAAAAAATTAATTAATAAAAGAGTTAATTTACTTCAAAATAAAAATCTTAATATGGATCTTAAAGAGGATCTCGTTCTAAAGCTATTTCTGTTGCTAAATCTACGAATTAAGCTCCTGACGAGCCTTTAGATAATTGGATGGTTGCTCGTTTATAAAATAAGGTTTTTATTATTATTATTATTTTAAATACTTTAATAAAAAAAAAGTGTTTAGTTCTTGTCCTTAGTTTATTAGAAGGAAGGTAATTGAAAACGGATAATTAATAAATTAAAAAAATTGCAAGAAGTATATAAATTGATACATTCGAGAAAAGAATTGTTGATATTTATACAAAATTCATGATTATACATAAAGGAGAATACACAATGAAATCACTAAATACAATAAACATTGACATTAATAGTGCTGAGGGTTAAGAAATATAAAAAAAAAATTGGGGAAGATTATTTTTCACTTATTCTTTAAAATGGATTTTATTTATATATCATATTTAGTTACATAATCGAATCTGGTGAAAAACTAGAAGGGCACATAGTAACATGCTATAAAGATCAAATGAAGAACTCTTTATAAGCATAAAAAAATCCTATTTGGGCATTCCTTACTGGAGATAATATTATTGGATAAATTGTTTCTTTTGCAATGTCTTTTATTGAAAGTGGTATTAAGACTGCTTAAATGATGTAATAATATACGGCCGAATAAGTAAAAAAAATCGGAAAAAATGAAGAAGATTAAGAATTGGCAAATAAAAAATAGCAATAACTTTTATAAGAATAATTTAAAAAAAATACTCACTAAAGCTGTTAAATTCTTCTAAAAAAATACTGCACATATTGAAATTCTTAGAAATAATAAATTAGAAACTATCTATTATATTTTATTACCTTATGTTCATAGATTACCTAAAGAAAAAAAAACTGAATTTCATGAAAATATTGACAGATCTAATGTTTTTTTTTTAGTTTTTTACATATATTTATTGTTTTATATAAATAAAAAAGGAAAAAGCTAAAGTTTTTGGCTTAATGTAATAAGCAAAATATTTAACTGAAGTCTGTATTTAAGAAGAAGAACTAAACAAATTTTTCTCATAAAATAGGTTTTTGGCACTTTTCGCTAATTATGTAAAATTATGGAAAGATTTGGCTTTTATAATGACAATAATACTAAATATATTTATTCTTTTTACATTTACAGATGCCTATGGTGATAGATTCTCAGATCAACATCTATTTATGAATGTAATAAAAAACCAACTTATTTATATTTATATATATGTATAATAAAAATAAATAAAGGCTGAATATAATAGCCAAAAAACCTAAAGTATAATAATTGGTTTAGGCTTAGCGATGACGTGCTGTAGTATGTTTGTTGTATCTTTCTTTTTAATAAAAAACTTGCCATTATTAATAAAAAGGGCTTGGAGTAAAGACAAAAAGAATAAATTAGTTCCAGAAATGCCTCCATTAATAATCCGTTTTATTTTATGGATTTATAAATTGGCAATAGTATTAATTGATCTACTTTAAGAAATTGAAATTATATATTATATTAGCTATGGAGCTTTTTCTATTATTGGAACATTCTATCATCCATTTTTTTTTACTTTCCATTTAACTGAAATTCTTATTAGATTCCCTACACTTAAAAGTGTTATTATGGCTGTTTGGGGTCCTAAAAAATAGTTAGCTTTAACTTATATGCTCTATTTGATTTTTGTATGGTTTTTTAGTCTTATTGCATTCTAATTCTTTAATGGCGAAAAAGATCTTAAAGGTGAATGCAATTAAATGATTTATTGTTATATGCTTTTGATTGATTAAACATTTAAGGTATTAAATTTTTTTATTTTTATTTTTTTTATTTAAATATATGTATAGTCTAATGGAGGTATTGGAGGTTATATTCTAAGTACGTTTGATAATGAAGGACAAGATGATATTTATAGATGGGAAAGGCTTTTATTTGATAATGGATTTCTTATTATTGTTGTCATTATTATAGTTTAAATTGTTGCTGGTATTATTATTGATACTTTTAGTAATTTGAGAGAATAAGAAAATGAAAAAAAAGAAGATATTGAAGGAAAATGTTTTGTTTGTGGATTTAAATAGTAAAAAAAACATATATTTATATATGTTTATATTTTTTTATTTATTTTAGAGAATTATTTGATAAAAAGGCACTTAATAGTATTAGAGGAGGATTCTAATATCATATTAAAACAAATCATTATATGTGGAATTATGTTTATTATATTTCTTATCTTTATTAAAAAGATCCAACGGAATTTAGTGGTACCGAGAGTTATATATTTGACATGATTGAAAATTAAGATAGTTCATGGTGATTATTATTTTAAAAAAATTATTTTTTATGTTATATATTTTTTTTTTTAATTAAAAAGGTTTCCTATAAATAGATCTAGTGATTTAGATTTGAATGAAGATGAAGATGATGAAATTAAATAATAAATTTTACTAGATGAATTAGAAAGCTAGGTATTAAATATTCTTTTTATATTTTTATTAATATTAATTATAAAAGACAAGTAAATTAAGTGAGACTGTTAGAGAAACAACCAAATTTATAATGTAATAGATAAAAAGTTGATAATAATATTATTGATTATATATTTAATTGAAAAAATAAAATATAAATATTATTTATAGTTATAATTATAAAAATTATTTAAAAAAAAAAAAAATATTCAATTATCTTTTATTATTATATATAAAAAAAAGAATTAATATTTTTATATTATAAATATATATCTGATACATATTATTATTACTATATTTACATTAAAATATAAAATAATTACACATATACAAAATTAGTAATTTTAGTAAAGAGAAAAAATCAAAAATATATGGGAAGTAGCTTAAATATAAATATTAAAAAAGAAAATGAATTTAATTAATCTTAATATATAGAAATAACTTAAATGTTTGATTAAAGATATGGAGAAACTACAATTTACTAATGCAACAAAAGCTTACAAAATTTTGCAAAAATCTAAAAACAATTAACGGAATAAAATTCATTAGAAACATTACAAACCCGCACAAACTTAAATCATAAAAATCTTTTGAAATTATAAAATATTACATTAGTAAGTTCCGAATAGATATGTTCTCCAACTGAAAAAGTAAATCTTTATTATTAATATTTGAACTAAAATCTAAAATAAGATATTTTAAAACGATCGAAGAATAATCCCAAAAAATTGCATTATACAGAAAATGAAATATGGTATATAATACATAGTCTTTTATCTTTAGTAGATTATTTTTAATAAAAATAAATTGTGCATGGAGATATTCGCCCTTATAACGTTTTAATTGATAAATACGGATGTATAAAATTAGGTGAAGTGTATATCCATCCTTAGCCTTATTCCTAATATATTCAAGTATTAAATAATATGACTGATGATTGTTTTCTTAGTCCATAATTGTTTTCTTAATTAAAATTTTAAAATAGAAATCCTTAATAGGATTTAAAAGGAGAAATATTTTCAATAGGAATGACAGCATTATAAGCAGTTTCTCTTTGTAAGAATTTTTGTTAAATTTGTTATGATAAAAGTACATTTAGGGTTAATTTTTATAAGATAAATTAACTTATAGATGATTCAAAAACTTTATATTCTTAAAATTTACGCGATTTTCTTAAAAATATTCTTTTGGAAGATAATAATTTTTATTTTTTTTAAGGAATTTGTTAATCTATACTTCCTTTATCTTCTGATAAAATACTTGTTTATGAAAAAAGCGTGTTTTAATAAATTTCTAATTAATAATAATAATAATAATAATAAGAAGAGAACAGATTGAAGTTAGAAAGTTAATAAAAAGTTGATTTGGGATAACAAATTTAATAAGTATTGGAAAAAACAAGATAAAATATGTAATATTATGAATCTAATAATTTTTATTATTAGAATAAAATCAATAATTTAGATGATAAATTAAATCGTTTATCTACTATCCCTGAAGAATATAAAACTTAAAATGAATAAGTAAATCTTTTTTTTTTATTAAAAAAAAATACATTTATATAAATTTATATTTTTCTTTAATTTCTTTTAGGTTGGATAAAAATTAAATACTTCCAATAATTTTAAAAATTAAAATAACAATCAAAATAACCATAAAATAAATAAAATTTACGAATATAAATAAAGTTTTAATACTGCTTTTTCAGCATAAAAAGAATCTTCTTTTATCGATAAATATGATTAATATTCAACTAATATGCCATTTACACCAAAATATTCTGCAATTTTTAATATCGAAGATTTAAATAATAATATTAGTACAATAACTGCAAACATAAATATTATATAAACTATTGATAAAATGCAAGTTTAGAATGGAAATTATTAAAAAGAAAATTAAGGGTAAAAAACATTCCTATACAACCAGTTAAGAGTTTTTAGTGAATTAAATAATAAAAATAAAATATGTAAAAAATTTAAAATTATAAATATTATAAAAATTTGTAATTTTATAATTTATATTTATATTTATATATAAAATTATATTATGATTTTATTAAAAAATAATTTAATAGTTTATTATTTAGTATTCATGCCATTATTATTGTATTATTTTTACTTTTTCAATTAATACTAATCTTTATTTTTTAATTATTTTTAGATTTTTTATATAAGTATCTTATATAAATTAATATTATTATTTTTTATATTTTATTTTTAATTATAATAAAATATTATCTAATATATCTTTGTTTCTATAAATATTATATTTTTTATATATTTCATTATGCATTCTAAAAATAAAATTAAAAATTATCTTTTTTTGTTTGAAAGAATATATAAATTAAAACAATAAATCCTATTATAATAATAAGAAAATTAATAAATAGCCTAATATACTTTATATAAAGTAAATATATAATGGAGATTGAAAATAGAAATTTATATGAACATCTTAAATTATTAAAATCATTTAAAATTAAGCCTAAAATGATAAGGTATTTAATAATTAAATTAGAAAATTATTTAAAGATTAAAATTGAAAAGATATACAACAATCTAAAATTAACATGGAATTAATTTTGCCGACTTAAGACGGTTAAAAAATCAATAATTAATAAAATAATTACTTATTGAATTTTCTTTTGTAAAAATAAATTATGCATTAGTTTCTGTTGCGTCTTAAATTTCTAAATTAGAAAATTTAGAAATTTTAACTTTATATTTAATGTATTTTTTTAAAGATAATAAATATTTACTTATTTAATAAAAAAAATAAAGAGATATGTAATTATAAGAAAAGGGACTTTCAGGCACAATAATAAAAATTTCTAGAAATAAATCTATTAAAAATCTAGAATTATAAATCAGGTATATATATAAAATTAAAATTGATATTTTAAATATCTTAAAAAGTCATAATTAAATTACGAATTCTTATGTAGTATGTTTTGAAAGAATCTTATAATTATAAAGTTTAATTATATTAAAATTAGATTTTTCGCATAATAATTTGACAAATGAAGGATATATAGCAATTACTAAGTCAGTTAAATAATTAAAGATATTACAAAATCTTGATTTAAACTTTAGTTATAACCCTTAATTATAATTTCGTTTCTAACGATAATCTAGATTTCGAAGATATGAGATTTTTATAATAATTTAATCTAAATTTACACTAAAAAATTAATAAATATTTTTAATTTATTGAGGAACAAAATTCAAAGAAATATAATTTTTAAAATTTCCTTTATAATTGGAATAGCTACATTTAAATTTAAAATTGTAAAATTATAATTAATATTAACTTTTATTTAAAAAATAATAATAATAAAGATTAGAACGACTAACAAAAGCTTAAATTTAAATAACATTTTAAACTATAATATAAAATTTAATGAACTTAAAATATCTTAAATTTTTAACAAAGTGAGAAAATAACTATTTTTAATAATATATGTATCTACTTTTTTACAACTAGTAATGATACTTATAATTATTAATTAGACTAAATATAATAAGAATAATTAAATAATCGATACTAGTAATAGAATGAATAATTTATTATTAAAAAAAAAATTTAAATTAAGTAATAATATATAATATCTTAAAATAAAGATTCAGTTCATAAATAAATATATATAAGCTATAAAATATTTTTTTTATATTAAAAAAATAGATTTAATTAGTAAGGTTTAGATTATTTTATTAATTAGCTTATGAATTTAAAATAATTAGAAAAATTCGGCTTGCTGAATTTGTAATTATATTATTATTTATATTATAAAAAAATTTGAAATAATTATTAATATTTGATTAGAAGCAATTAGAATATATATTTTGAATAGTTAAATTAGCTTTTTTTATTTTTAAAATAATAAGATAACTTAAAATAACTTAATTTAAAACTTAAGTAATAAAATATATAAAAAAGAAAGATATTATAATAAGTTATTTTATATTAGTTAAAATCAATTTAACATATAAAGCTTTTAATAATTGATAAATAATATATCAACTTTTTAAAATTTATAAAGTCTTACATTGAATATAAGTGATTCTAGAATTTTAAATTAAGAAAACATAAAATTATTTGCTGAAAAAATTTAAAATTTATAAAGCTTACATAAATTGAAGATTGATATAAGGTTTTTCAAATTAAATAAATATAAAATTTAACAAGTCAATGCTCTTTAAAAGGATAATAAATAGTTGAGTTTTCTCAGTATTTAAAAAATATGAAATTATTAAAACTTAAAATTAATTATTTGTAAAATTTATAAAATAAAAATGTAATAATAAATTTAATTAATATTTTTTATTTATTTATAAAAGAAATAATAAAATAAATATTATTTAAGCATAATAATTATGTATTAATGTTGGCAATATAGACTCTTTAACTTATATTGATATAATTATTACGTAATTAAATATATATTAAATAGATTAATTATTTTTAAATAGAAATTTATTATTAATTTAAAATAATTAATTGCCTTAAAATCTTTTACAAAATTAAGAAGAAGAAGAAGAAGATGAACTTGATAATGAAAATACAGAAGATTTTTTAATAGAAAACCCGAATAATTAAAACTAGAAATATTTTTATTTAAATAAATATTATAATCTCGTTTAAAAAAAATCAAAATAAAGAGAAATCATGATTATTAGAATATAATTGTTTAATAATTATTTTTCTTAATATTTTTCCTATAATCCTAAAAATATAATTATAGATTTTTATTATTGACTATTAATATTATTGATATTATATTATATATATAATAAAATTAGTTTTTATATGATTATTATAAAAAAAGTAAAAACAAACATATTTTACAGATTTAAAATAAAAAGTAAAATAAAAAACATAAATAAATAAATTTCAATAAAAGTTATCTGCAACTACAACTTCATCATCTTCATCATTAACAACAAGAAATTCTTAATTATTATTTTATACATTATTATAAACACAAGATTATACTTATTATTAATTATTTGATTTTTCTTGTTCTTAATTAAAAATATCATATTAATCTTCATCTTCTTCTTCTTCTTTTTGATTCTCTAACATTTAACAATATTAATTAAGTTAGGTATTAGTTGGGCCTTTTAAGCAAAAAGGTACACTTCTTACATAGGTTTCACCATTTTCATCATTTTAAGAATTACTATATCTAGGGGATTTAGAGCTACATTAAGAATTATATTTAAAAGAACTATTACTATTTAAATTATTATTAGCTATATTATTATTATTATTATTATTATTATTATTATTATTCTTATTATTATTATTATTATTATTACTATTTGTAATAATGTTATTGTTTTATGAAATTAAAATATTTTCTTTCATTATTGATTATTTATTATTAAATTCAATGTTTTCATTATTATTATCAAATAAGCTTCTAAAAGGTTTTTAATCTAACTGAATACTTGTTTTGCTTTCTTATCTTTCTTCTTTTGGCATAGGAGTATTTACTTAACTAACTTCTTCTTCATGAATGTTTTATTCTATAATTTCTGGTAAAGGATTATTATATATATCATTGTTAGTATTTTTTCTATCGCTTTATTCTAATGCAGAATTATTGTTATTTTAATTATTGTAAAGTTAATGATTTAAAGAACTCATTACTTTTTAAAAAGCTTCTTTATTATCACCAAAACTTACATATAATTTTTCTATAAATTAATCTATAGTATATACTTAATTATTTTTTTACGGAGATGTACAGAATTTTTATTATTTTTAAAATTATTAATATGTTTATTAATTTTATTATTATTAATTTTACTATTATTATTACTATTATTATTGTTAAATTTATTTTACATTCATTTATTGTTATTATTATTTAACATTTTATTGCTGCTATTATTGAATTTATTAAAATTATAATTATTATTATTGTTATTATTATATAATTATTATTATTATTATTATTATTATTATTATTATTAAGATTATGGTGTCATTTTTATTTTTTATTATTAATTGTTTGTTTCAATTTATTATAAATAATTATTTTACTAAGGACTTGGACTACTTAAATAATCGAAGTTAATTTAATATTAGTAATCAGGAGTTGATTATAAAGTATTTAATCCTTGTCCACTTGTAATATTAATAAGATTATCTTCGTTTTATTATTAAATTTTATTATTACTATAATTTTTTGAATCTTATTTTTTTACTAAGGTTGATTTAAAGCTTGAAATTTAGAAAGCTTAATTTATAGTTTGAATATAAAGGTTTTAGTTTTTATCTTAACTTTCAACTTTTAAGATATCTAAAAGCTAATTTGTCATATTTTAATAGAATTGAACAAATGTGTCCAATTTTTCTTTATAGTTAGTCATTATTTCTACAAAATGAACCATTTCTATTTGATTGATTATATTATCTTTATTCATATTTATATCAGCTTCTATATTTATACATTCTTTTATATATTCTTTACTTTACTTTTCCCATTTTTAGTATTATTAAAGTTATTACATCTTACTTTATTCAAGTTTTTATACTTATTAATCCTTTATCTTTGTTATTATATCTAAAAGGAAAACATATTACACTTCAATTTTTTCTTATTATTTTTTATAGAAATTATATATTTCTTGTTTTTTTATTATTAATGAGTGGTTTAATTCTTACCATTTTGGACCTTTTTTTTTATATATTTAATATATTAAAATAAATATAAATATTATTACCATTCTAATTTATTACATAGAGAAATTCTTCAATTTATTAAAGTTTTATAGCCTCATTTCCTTAAATATTTTAATATTAGAAATTTTAATTTTATTTTAAATTAATTTCTTATTTAATCATTTCATTTTGAATTTTTTATTGTTATTATTAATATTCATCGATTTCGATATTTTCTTAGATTTAAATAATTTTCTTTTATTAAGCTTATAAAACAGCACATTTAGAGCAGTAGAAATTTTAGCCATTTTCTTCTTTATATTTTGCCTATATGTTATTTTTTTAAAAATATAAATTATAAAAAAATCAAAAATATAATATTTTACTTTTTTATTTTAATGATTAATACAGACATATTATTATTGATTATTAGAATAAGCACTTATTTAAGACAAGTTTATCATATTTAAATTATTATTATTATCTTATAAAATTTATTCAACATCATTATTATTACTGTTTGTCAAGCATTATGATTAAATAAACATATTAGGATTTTAATTAAAATTAAAGTTTTAGATTGATTATTCATTATTTTAAGAAAATAGAATTTATGATAAATTACTTTCATTTTACACAGTTAGATTTTTACAACTAAGCTTGTTTTTTGTTGAAGGAATTTTGTTTTAGCTTTATTCAAAGTTCTAATTATAGAGATAACTGCTATTTTAAATATTACTAATATTCTTATTTTCAGATAAAATAGGTTTTTCAACATAATTATAAGAATTAATTATTATTATTATTATTATTATTATTATTATTATTATTATTATTATTATTATAAATGGTTTTCTTACACTTAGATTTAGTTGAAATATTATTATTATTTTATTAATTATTATTAAATTAGACTTTATTATAAATTTTTTTAATTTAGGCTTTTTTAATATTCTATCTTTTATTTTTAAGGAAATAAGTTTTCATTTTAAACTAAAGATTGTTTTTTTTAATAGTCTATATTTTTAGCTATTCCACTCATTAAAAGTCTATTATTTGTTTATGATTAGTTACTCTTATGAGAAGTTGGTGTTAGTTAAGGTTAATTCATATTAGCTAAGCTGTTTGGAGATTTTTATTTAGCATTTAAAAATGATTTTTTTTCAGATAATAGTTTTTCATTTTTTTATACGTGATCTTGTTGTCTTATGCTATTTGTAGCATTTAGAATTTAGATAATCTAGCTTGTTTTTGAGTTTGTTTAATCTCTTTATATATTTATAGGACTTTAAGTTTTTAAGTTTTTATGTTATTATTATTAAGCTATTAAGTGGTTGTTCTGTTGTTTCATTTAGTATTATTATTATTCAAATTTGTTTAAGCTTTATTTCATTTTTTTTTTTTTTTTATATTTTTAAATTTATATATTTTTTTATTTGTTTATTTATTTATTGTTTGAAATTAATTTTTTTTTTTTTCTTTATAATCATAAAAAATTATTTATTTGTGTTTTTTTTTTTTAATTTTAATTTTTTTTTCTTTTTTTTATGCTTCCGTTAAAATTTAAATTTTGTATTTTAAATTAAATTCAAAAAATAACCATGAAATTTTTTTTATTAAATGCATAGGCTGTTTTTATTAATAAAAATTGTAATATTTAGCTAAACTAACTCCTAGTAATAGAAATTAATTTTTAATAACTAATGAAATTAGTATACTAATACAATATTAAAATTTAATATTTAAACATAAAATTAAAAAATAATAAAGGAATTAACAAAATATAAAATTAATAATTAGCGCTTTATTTATCATTAAAAAAAATAAAATAATAGATATAAGAAAAGTAAATTAATATAACTTTTTTTTAATTATTAATACAATATTTTTTATATTTTTTAATTTACAGTTTTTTTTTTTATTATTAATTTTAGTCTATTCATTTTTAATTATGTATTTCTTTTACCCATTTTATTATTTATTATTAATAATCATCTATTCTTTTTTTTATTTTACCAGTTAAATTTAGTTTTAGTTGCTATTACCTTTTATTTATTACAATAAAAATGTTATTGTTTTCAAAAGAAATTAAAAATATTTTACTTAAAATATTATTTTTTAACATATTATTCATAATTAAAAATGCTTTAATCTTCATGAACTTCTTTGTAACTTTCAATATTTTATATTCTTATTAGTTTAAAATTAAAAATGAAAGCATTTTAAAATTAATAATATTACCTGTCATTTAAATTAAATTCTGATAAATTAACACCGATATTATTTTTATTATTTTGTTCTTTAAAGTTAGAAGAAAAACTAATATTGATAATATATTTATTTAATTTTTTTAATTACATATTTTCTTAATTATTTTATTTTAAGTGTTTTTTCTTTACAATAAACTAGAATATTTATTATTATCTTTTTATACTTTTGTCAGCTGTTTTTACTGTTTAGGCACTATAATTAATAATTTTTAATGGAGTTTTGTTTTCAATATCTTTAGTATTATTTTAACTGTTAAAATATTTTTATTAGAAAAGCTTTTTGATTATATTTTTGTTTTAATTGCTTTATTAATTAGATAATTTTTATTAATTATTTTTTTTACTTTCAAACTAACCAAAATAATATTTGTTTTTGATTTATTGAAAATTAGAAACACAAAAAGACTTTAATTACTTTTTTTATAAACTGTTACTTTAAAAATTATTCTAAATTTAATTGTCTGAATTATAAGTTAAGTTTTTATTTTACATTTTTTCATTTTCATATTAACTTTTTTCATTAACACAACTTGAAACATTTAATAAAATCTTATTTATATATTAATCTTTTGGTTAATTAAAATTACCGCAGCTTAAAAAAAAAATTTTTACTAGTTTCTTTATTATTTATAAAAAGTTTATTGCTTTTAAAATTTTGTCATAGTATTATTATTATTCGTTTCATTTGTTTGATTATTATTATTATTATTATTTTATTTTTATTTAAAACAATTAACTTTTATTCTTTATTCTATTTCTTCTTTTTTAAGCTAAAATAATTTTTATTTAAAAAATTAAACATTTTCTTATTTCAATTTTCCTTATGAGCTTTAATATCTCATATTATATTTATCATTTTATATTTTCTTACAAACTGTTTGATAATATTAGTTGTATTTTTTAACAAAAATTTATTCGTCTTATATCAATTTCTTTTTTTTCTATATCTAATAACCATTATTTATTTGTATTATATCATCTCCAAATTAAAAATTTTATTAATTTAATAAATATTCTTCTCTTTTTTATAATTCTTCGTTTCCTTTCATTATCAAAAAATATTTTGGGATTTTTAATTTATCAGGCTTTGGGGTTTTTGGTTCTTTTTTTTGGTAAATATGTATAAATATTAACTTAAAAAAA